AGGAGACAAAAAGGCATATATTAACTGTATTTTATATAATAGCCTTAGAGATCATTTTAACGAACTTTAATGATAACATTTAAAGCCATTGAAAGATTTTTATTATTATTTAAGATGATTATAGTCATAGAATGTAGAGTGTGTATTGAATGAATGTTTATATAGTACTTTTGAATTTGTTTCTAGAATAAACTTGGTATATACTTATAAGGATTGCCATATATTTGTTTATATTGTTCTGTTGTTATTTTGCTGTTATAATGTTTCTGTAGTTCTCTGAAAAACTCAACTCTTTAAGTAAAAATAATTGAGACTCATCTATCAATTGTAATTATTTCATTTATAATAATTAAGTTGTTTATTTTGAATCTTAAAATTGGTAAATCAGTATTTTAGTTATAAGTGCATACAAGTATTTATACGCCGAACCTACCTTTTTTCAGAAAGTTTAAGGTTTTTTATTTTCCTTTAACCTTTAAGGTCAGCAAAGGAGGCAGAAGACAAAATTAAAAAGGCAGTAGAAAAGGGAGAAACTCTTCCCACAGAGGCCAGATTTGATTCCAACTGTATTACACCAGGTAAACTAAAATAAAAATTCTCAGAGAACTAAAATGTAAATTGAAAAGTTGCTTTTCCAAAGTATTTTATTTTCTGGGATCTATTTTGGCCTTAGGTTTTCATTTGCTGTATTTTCCCACTTGTGTCTGCTGGTAAGATGATTTGTTCACCTTGATTGTAAGTCCTTCTATAAAGACCCACTGTAGAGATTTGCAGATGTTGATAAAAAGTACATATGAGCATAACTCTGCCAGATACACAGAATTCCAAACCTATGAGGGACTTAGAAGATCTTTCAACCTACTCCTGTTATTTGTTCATATAAAAAGAGAGTCATTGAGGTTGTGGCCTGCTAAGTTCATGCATCTAATTTGTGTTGTATAGGATGAGAAACCCATTCTCCTAGTTCAGGGCACTTACTATTCTACTTCTCAACAACAATTAAGATTTTTATGACTTTAAGGAAGATGAATTTATCAGTATTATAATTTTATGTGTAATAGCATATTTTATATTCCTAAGAATGCTGTGTAACATTATAATTCTTTCTGTTGAAAAAACATCTTAAATTCTTACTTTCTCATGAATTCTTTACTAACAATGGTATTTTCTCTTTCATTAAGTTCCTTAGTAACATGTTGCTCAATTTAATAACCAACTATATCCCATTTGTGATTTAAGACTGTATTGCCTTTGACTATTTTTTTTTTTTTAAGATTTATTTAATTATTTGAAAGGCAGAGTTACAGAGAGGCAGAGGCAGAGAGAGAGAGAGTGAGAAGTCTTCCATCCTCTTGGCTGACTCCACAGATGGCCGCAATGGCCAGAGCTGTGTTGATCTGAAACCAGGAGCCTCTTCCAGGTCTCCCACGAGGATGTAGCAGCCCAAGGATTTGGGCCATCCTTCACTGCTTTCCCAGGCCATAGCAGAGAGCTGGATTGGAAGTGGAGCAGCTGGAACTCTAACAGGCACCCATATGGGATGCCAGCGCTACAGAAGACGGCTTTTCCTGCTATTCCACAGCACCGGCCCTTGCCTTTGACTATTGACTCTCTGGACTTTTCTTAATTTTTGTAGACTCAGTTTCTAGATTAATCATGTTTTTAAAATATTGATTTCTTTTAAAAGCAGAGTTATAGAGAAAGAGAGAGATACAAAGAGAGAAATCTTTCTTCTGCTGGTTCACTCCCCAAATGGCTGCAACTACTGGGGCTGGGCCAAGCTGAAGCCAGGAGACTGGCACTCCATCCAGGCCTCCCCCATGAGTGGCAGGGGCCCAAGCACTTGGGCCCTCTTTGGTTCCTTTTCCAGGAGCATTAGCAGGAAGCTAGACCAAAGTGAAGCAGCCAGGACTCAAGCCAGTGCTCTTAAGAGATGAGATGCCAGCGCCGCGGCTCAATAGGCTAATCCTCCGCCTTGCGGCACCGGCACACCGGGTTCTAGTCCCAGTCAGGGCGCCGGATTCTGTCCCGGTTGCCCCTCTTCCAGGCCAGCTCTCTGCTGTGGCCAGGGAGTGCAGTGGAGGATGGCCCAAGTGCTTGGGCCCTGCACCCCATGGGAGACCAGGAGAAGCACCTGGATCCTGGATTCAGATCAGCACGGTGCGCCGGTCACGGCAGCCATTGGAGGGTGAACCAACGGCAAAAGGAAGACCTTTCTCTCTGTCTCTCTATCTCACTGTCCACTCTGCCTGTCAAAAAAAAAAAGAGATGCCCGCATCAGAGGAATAGTTGTTAATTTTTTTATAGTTATGGTCAGTCTGATCAAAACATCACACCTTAAGGCAAAAAAAAAAAAAAAAGAAAACTTCAGAAGAAAGACAATTCAGGATTATTAAAGAATTCAAACTGTGTGCCCTTATCTGAAAGCACCTGAAAAAAAGTACTGAGAAAGGAGTTAAATTCCTTGACTTTCCCTATATGCCTTCATTTGGAGTCACTAATGACATCAGAAAAAGTGTGTACAACATTCCCTGATAAGCAAGAGAGCTTTGGTCTTCTTTACAGGTCATATACCTATCTATTTCCTGGGCACCTAGATCTGATTACATGTTGTCACTGAGACCCACTGTTTTTGTTTCTTTCTCAGATTAACCTTCTTAAAACTTTTATTTGTAGGGACTGAATTCATGGCCAGGTTACACGAACATCTGAAGTATTTTGTAAATATGAAAATTTCCACAGACAAGTCATGGCAAGGAGTTACTATCTACTTCTCAGGCCATGAGGTTATTATCTTTTTATATTTAAAGATTTATTAAGAATTTATTTAATGGTCTAAACCACAGCATATTACCCCCTTTTTTTTTTTCTTTTTAAATATTACATTTAGACTCCTGGAGAGGGAGAACATAAAATCATGGAATTTATCAGATCCGAGAAAGCAAAGCCAGATCATGATCCAAACACCAGACACTGTCTTTATGGTTTAGATGCTGACTTGGTAGGTATAATGTTTGCTGTTATTATAACCTTATGCTTTGTAGATCAATATCTAAAAAACTTTGTTTTATACAGGGAGCCTACTGGCTGTGACAACAAATACTGGGGAAATCATAATTGCTGTTTCTGCCTTTTCCAAGATTCTAAGACAATTAGAAAATTGAGCTTTTTTGTCATACTTTATGATCAGCAGGTCTCTAGAATTAATCATAGATCTGACAAACGCTAGTGATACGAAGACTGCTGAGGTGAGAAAAGGCACTTTTACCCTCAGGCTTCCTGCATGATTTTTTTTTTTAAAGATTTTATTTATTTATTTGAGAAGTAGAGTTATAGACAGTAAGAGGGAGAGACAGAGAAAGGTCTTCCTTCGGTTGGTTCACTCCCCAAATGACTGCAATGGCTGGAGCTAAGCTCATCCAAAGCCAGGAGCCAGGTACTTCTTCCTGGTTTCCCTCGTGGATGCAGGGGCCCAAGCACTTGGGCCATCTTCCACTGCTTTCCCAGGCCACAGCAGAGATCAGGATCGGAAGAGGAGCAGCTGGGACTGGAACTGGTGTCCATATGGGATGCTGGCGCCACAGGCAGAGGATTAACCTACTGCATCACAGCGCCAGCCCCCCTACATGATTATTAATATCCCCTTATCTAGACTTCTTTTGCTATAACTTTTTATTATGGAAATTTTCAGGCATAAACAAAAATAGATAAGATAGCCTTTTTTTTCCCCAAGGAAATAAATAGATAAGATAGCCTTTTTTTCCCCAAGGAAATGAAATGTCCTTGTGGCCTTCATCTACCTTAAATATTAATTTTTAACTCCTATCACTAACCATCTGTCTCCTCTTTAACTCCTACCCTTCTGGGTTATTGAAACAAATCTCAAACTTTATATCATTTAATCTATTCAAATTTATAATATTGCTCTAAAGGGGAAGGGTTTTTAAAAATGCATATAAACCATGATACATAAAAAACAAAGAAAACTGATTGCTTAATGTATTTATATAACCAGTTAGTATTCTTATTTCCTTGGTTCCCTCTTAAATGTTATGGTTTGTTGTTTCAATAAGCCTTGAAGTAAAATAAATAGTAAACAATGCACCTGGATAATATGTCTCATTGCACTTATGCTTACTATGTGAGAAAATTAACTGAAAATGCCCTTTACTGTTTTTCTGAGTTTTACTACATTAGAGGTTATCTTGGCCTCCAAAATAATTCTAGATTTTTAAAAAATTATTTTAGAGGCTGACAGAGCAAAGTATAGACAGATAGAGTGGGCTCCTATCTGCTGGCTCACCTCCCAAAAAATCCCATAAAGACTGAACAAATGCTTAGAATCAAGAACTCAGTCCTGATTTCCCAGTGTCAGTGACAGGAACCCAACTACTTGAGCCATTCCTCTGCCTCTCAGGATCCACATTAGCAGGAAGCTGGAATCAAGAGCCACAGCCAAAAATCAAACCGAGCATTCCAGTGTAGGATATGGGTATCTGAACAGCTTGTCCAAATGCCTGCCCCTCACCCCTGCCATATTCTTTTATCATGGAAAAGTTACTGCCTCTCGTTTCTAATTTATCCTCCTTCTCTTCCCCAGCCCCAGTAGAAAAATGTGAAAACCAAGGATTTTGGAATTTGGGAGGGTAGGTAGGGGGCATGGTTATAAAGGTCATATATATCTGAAGTGATCATTTTGTCTTAGAAAAGTATACTTTATCCTATTCATAATCTACACATGGGTCATATTTGAATATTTTTATCTTTAATGTACTAAATGTTTATTGCTCTCTCTATAAATGTTTTTATTTAATTGCTTTTATGAACCTAGAACTATAAAAAGTGAGAGAACAGAAACATTTCTTAATTATTTTTCAACAGATTATGCTTGGATTAACAAGTCATGAGGCACATTTTTCTCTCTTAAGAGAAGAGGTTCGATTTGGTGGCAAAAAAACACAAAGGTAAATCATATAGCATATAGGAAGAAAGAACAGCGTCTGAATAGTAATCTCTTTGCAGATATTTGATCTGCAGATATTTTTCCTTCATTCCATGGGGTGCCTTTTCACTCTATTGATACTGTCATTTGATGTTCAAGTGTTCTATATCTATGTAGACCAATTTTGTGTGTTTAGTCCACTTTATCTACTTGTTTTGTTACCTGTACCTTTAGTAACACATCTAATCATGCCAAATTCAATGCCATAGGTTTTTCTCTTGTGTTTTATTTAAGAATTTCTCAGTTTTGACTTTTACATTTAGATATTTGATCTTTTTGAGTTAACTGTTGTGTATAGTATATCTTTTTTTAAGATTTATTTATTCAAAATGCGGAGTGACAGAAGGAGAGACAGAGAGAGAGATCTTTTAACCCCTGGTTCATTTCCCAAACGACTGCAATAACCAGGGGTGGGCCAGGACAAAGCCAGGAACCAGGAACTCCATCCTGGTCTCTCATGTGGGTGGCAGAGACCCAAGTACTTGAGCCATCTTCTGCTGCTTTCCCTGGTTTATTAGCAGGAAGCTGTATTGCAAGCAGAGCAACGAGGGCTTGAACTGGCACTCTGATACCAGCTGCTGGCATTGCAGGCAATGACTTAACCCAGTGCACCACAACTGTGGCCCCTCCAGCGTCCTTTAAACTTTTGCATACGGATATTCGATTTTCCTGGCACCAGTAGTGAAAACATTATCTTTCCCCACTAAATGTCTTAGCAGTTCTGTTGAAAATGGTTTGACTATATATGCAATGTTTGGTTTCTGGGTTGTCCATTTTATTCTAATAGTATATGTGTCTATGATTATGACATCAGTGTTACGATTATTGCTTTGCAGTAAGTTTTTTAAAAAAGATATATTTATTTATTTTTGAAAGAATTAGAGGGAGAGACAGAAATCTTCCATCTGATGGTTCAATCCCCTGATGGGTGCAAGGGCTAGCTCTGGGCCAGGCTGGAGCCAGGAGCTTCATCCGAGTTTCCCGTGTAGGTGGCCAGGGCCCAGACACTTGCGCCATCTTCTGTTGCTTTTCCCAGGTCATTAGCAGGGAGCTGAATCAAAAGTGGAGCAGTGTCCATATGGGATATTGACATTGCAGGCAGTCACTTAATCTGCTAAGCCACAACACTGACCCCTGTAGTACGTTTTAAAATCAGAAGAGACCTCCAGCTTAGTTCTACTTTTTAAAGACTGTTTAGGTGTTCAGGGTGTCTTGGAGTTCCATATGATTTTTAGAATGAGTTTTTCTGTTGTTGAAAAAAACATCATTGAGGTTTTGATAGGGATAGTATTGAATCTGTAGATCCCTTTGAGCAGTATTTTTATATTATTTAGTGTATAGTCTTGGCTCCTGAGTCAGGTTTATTTCTGAGTATTTTATTCTTTTAGATACAGTTATAAATGGGAGTATTTTCTTATTCTTTTTGGGAATGTTCTTTGAAAATATATAAAAACACAGATTGTTTTTGCATATTTATCTTGGACCCTCCAGCTATGCTAAATTCATTTTTTAGCTCTAAGTAGTTTTTCTGTGGATTCTATAGAATTTTCTATATATATAGGATCGTGCCATCTGTAAGTTGAGATCGTTTTACTCTTCCTTTCCAATTTTGATGCCTTTTCTTTCTTTTTCTTGCCTACTTGCTCTGACTAGGACTTCCAGAAGTGATGAGTAGCTGTGGTAAAGTGTACACACTTGTCTTGTCCCTGATGCTAGGAGGAGAGTTTTCAGTCTTTCGTTGATGATTATGATGTTAGCTATCGGTCTTCACAAGTGCCCTTTATCAGACTAAGGAAATTTCTTTCTATTCCTAGTTTGATGAATATTTTTCTTAAAAGAGTGTTGAAGATTGGCAAATGCCTCTTTTCCAAAATGATAGTGTGGGGTTTTCTTCCCCTTCGTTCTATTAATGGGTTATATTTTTCTTATGTTGAAATACTCTTACATTCCTGAGATAAATCCCTCTTGTGAGTGGTGTGTAATTTGTATAATGTGCTATTGTCTCCTTAAATTCTTTTTTTTTTTTTTAATTTTTTTTATTCAATTGAAAGGCAAGTTACAGACAGAAGGAGAGACAGAGGGAGAGATCCTCCATCCACTAGTTCATTCTTCAAATGGCTGCAATGGCCAGGGCTCAGCCAGGCCGGAGCCAGGAGCCAGAAGCTTCCTCTGGGTCTGCCATGTGGTTGCAGGGGCCCAAACACCTGGGCCATCCTCTGCTTTCCCAAGTGCATCAGCAGGGAGCTGGATGGGAAGTGGAGCAGCCCAGACTAGAATTGGCACCCTGATGGGATGCTGGCACTGCAGGCTGTGGCTTTAACCTGCTGTGCCACAGTGACCCCTTGTCCCCTTAAATTCTTACTTGTAGATTTGGAGTAGAAGCCAACAGCTAAGAATGTAGAACCCTCTACCAATCCAGGGAGAGATAAGAGGAAGAAGTGATACTGCCTTACCTTTGTAGCAGTGGACTATATTTCAACAAATATAAAAGTATGTACTTAATCATCTGTGTGCTTTCTGCTCATTGCCAGCCTTAAATGGGCCAGACCCAACTGATTTCTACTTAGGGCTTCTTAATTCTGATAATCATTCCACAAGAACAATAATGTGAACCAATAATTTAGAACTTTGTCATATTTTATATTCTATGATTTATATTATATTTTTATCTTTAGATTATCCTGTAGCTTTCATGTAAGTTACATGCCTTAATTATAAGACTTAATGATCTTCTGATGATAATTTTGATTTAAGCTCTGGTACATTCTTAATCTTGGGTATAAAAATATAATTCACTGTATCTTGATTATCGAATTCCAGGGTGTGTGCACCAGAAGAAACCACATTTCACCTCCTACACTTGTCGTTAATGAGAGAGTATATTGACTATGAATTTTCAGCATTAAAAGTAAGTATTAATATAGCCACTGACCAAGGACTTGTCTGCAGAAATTTCTATGGGATTCTCTATGTGTTCTCTATTTTATCGCAGGAAAAGATCACATTTAAATATGACATTGAAAGAATTATAGATGATTGGATTTTGATGGGATTTCTTGTTGGCAATGATTTTATCCCTCATCTACCTCATTTACATATTAATCATGATGCACTGCCTCTTCTTTATGGAACATATATTACCATCCTGCCAGAACTTGGGGGTAAGAAAAATTTATTGTTCATTTGACTCTACCTTAATTTAGTAGTGACATATCCAAAAAATGTCATTTCATTTTTTAGGTTATTACATGCACAACTTGAGTAGGAAAATATTGGGAGTTTTTTTTGGTCTAAGATGCCAAACACTGAGGTTGTCACTTTTGATGATTCACAAAGAAGGAAACTGAACAGAATTAAGCAACTTCACTAACTGGTGATGCCTAGCCAGTCTTTTGCTTCAGGTCCTTAAGAAAGTCAGAGGAACTTGATTTTACTTGACTCCTTTCATATTTAAGAGTAGAAAAAATCAGTTTTTCTGAATGGATTTGCGTGTATCAGAGTATTTAATATAAAGAAAACTTTTTCCATTAAAATAGAAAATTTACAAATGATAGGATGCTGAATAAAATGAACAGGATAGCAGGAAAATAGTCCTTAAGTTAACATTGCAAACTGAATAATCTAGATAAGTTCCTCAACATTTTAAATTTAATTAATTATTACCAAATGTTGGAAATTACAGTTATGAAAACCTGGAATTTCTTATATTTTGCTTATGAGAACCTTAAATTTCTTAAATTTACATTATGGTAAACAAAGGTCATAAAAACAAGGACCAGTTTATGTATAGCCCAACACTGAGTGTTTTTCTTGATTAGTGGAATGTTAATAATCAGCATTTTGTGGATAGAATATTATAGAATTGCTTAGAAAAAATAATATACAAATTTAGATCATGTTCATTTCAGGTTATATTAATGAAAGTGGGCATCTCAACTTACCTCGATTTGAAAAATACCTTGTGAAACTATCAGATGTAAGTAACTAACAGTTTCTTCCCTGTCCCGGGATAGCTCACAATGGTCAGTAACAAATTACATGATGCCGGAAGAAAGAGACTTTAAAATTCTTTTCCAGTTGTTTCCTCTATATAAGTAATTTCACCTAAATTATTTTTATTTGTTTTTCATTTTTAATTTTCTGAGTAAAAGATGAAGTCTCCAAGTGTATAAAAAAGTACTGTTCTCCAAATTACTTTTCCCTAGTAGTAGTAGTCACTATTAAAAGCTTACTTTGTATTCATCCAGATATACTTAAATTCGTTTTAAATGAATTTAAATATTTCTGTGCAGTTTGATCGGGAGCACTTCAGTGAAGTTTTTGTGGACCTAAAGTGGTTTGAAAGCAAAGTTGGTAACAAGTACCTAAATGAAGCAGCGGGTATTGCAGCAGAAGAAGCCAAGAACTATAAGGAAAAGAAAAAATCAAAGGTGTCTGTTTTTTTAGGTGTCCTTTCATTTTTTCAGCTGTAAAAATAAAAAACAATCATTTGAAAGATATTATTTAAAATCAGTGAGTTCTGTTTCTAGCTCTTCATTGTAATGAAACAGCAGCCAGTCAGCATTCTACTGTTTGGTTACTCTAAAGAAAACAGGCTCTGCAACATTTTGGTAACCTGTATGCACAAAACTTAAATCTCAGTAATCCTGGGTTCCCTCATCTCAGTCCTTAAACTTCATCAGTCTTCCAGGCATATGTGGTCAACTTAACAACTATAGGAATGGCCCTGGCATGGAGTGTTAACAGAGGCCCTAGATTGGATGACGAAAAGGAAATGTAAATAAGGAAGTTCAAAGAACTATTGGAAGTCACTGGCAGTAGATTAGCAATTAGAAAAGAGAAAATAAAGGATTGAGATCACAAGAAGGAAAAATAGATGGGTGGGATATGAAAGATGTGGTGATGGGAGAATTATAGAAAAGCAAAATTGTTATGGAAGACAAATGAAGTGGAATATAGATAGTAAGAGTCTTAAGTATGACAGGATTCAAAGATACAGAAAATAGGTAATATATATAACCATTGAATTCAAACGTAAACACACTGTATTAACAGCAACCCAGAATTAGATGTATCAAAATATTAAAATTGGAACATGATAAAAGGATTTTATATTGAGTATTTAAATACTCTTTTCTAAGTAAATGAAATATTCTTAAAGTGTATTTTTCCTGGAAAACATATTTAGCTAAATATTTTATACTGGTAAAAATTACTTATTGTGTGTCTTTGAAAGGCCTGAAAGCTAAGTTCTACATAATAGAAATGCATAGTTTGGGGAAACAGTGATAACCGAAACTATATTACCTGAGGTTTATTTTTAATGATTGTTTCACCTTTTTTTAGTATTTTTTAAATCTCCCTATTTAATATTTCACTTTGAAATGCTTTGCCATTCATTTCGTGTTAATTTATAATTTTTATAGGGCCAAGAAAACTCTATATGTTGGGCTGCTTTAGACAAAAATGAAGTAGTAACTTCTAAGGGTGAGTACAGACTATGTATTTTGATGTTATTCCTTTGACAAATAATAATTCAATAATGATAGAACAGATTTCTATGATAGTGTGTAAACATCTTCTTTGATATGCATTTCTCAAAGTGTTAGGTGGAAATCCAAGATATTCATAATTGTCAGTCATTATCTTTCTGTTTTTTTCCCCCAGATAATTTAGAAGATGAGACTGAAGATGATGACCTATTTGAAACCGAATTTAGACAATATAAAAGAACATATTACATGACGAAGATGGGAGTTGATGTAGTGTCTGAGTATGTTTTTACTAATGCTTTTACTTATGGAAAGTAGAAAAAATTAGGTCTTGCAGTTCCTAGTAAAGAGCATAATTTTTCTAAGAGTGGGAGAAAAGGGATTTTTTTTTCTTTTTTTGACAGGCAGAGTGGACAAAGAGAGAGAGACAGAGAGAAAGGTCTTCCTTTGCCGTTGGTTCACCCTCCAATGGCCGCCACGGCCGGCGCGATGCGGCCGGCGCACCGCACTGATCCAATGGCAGGAGCCAGGTACTTATCCTGGTCTCCCATGGGGTGCAGGGCCCAAGCACTTGGGCCATCCTCCACTGCACTCCAGGCCACAGCAGAGAGCTGGCCTGGAAGAGGGGCAGCCGGGTCAGAATCCGGTGCCCCGACCGGGACTAGAACCCGGGGTGCCAGCGCCGCAAGGCGGAGGATTAGCCTAGTGAACCGTGACTCCGGCCGGGATTTTTTTGATTTTACAAAGTTATTGTAGATCTTTTGACTATTTTTGGAGAAAGTAACATTAATTCTGACATACGTTCTATTCCTGTTTTAAAAATTACCAAAGAGAATGTGATCCACAATATATTATAAAGTTATTATATATTAAAAAGTTGGAAATTATCTAAATGTTCAGTAAGAACATTCATTGTGGTCAGCCTTTGCTTCAGCATCAGCAGATCATTACCTCTGTCACTTCCACCATTCCCCAGATCTGCAGAATTGCTATGACTGATTCTTAACAGTTTGGAAGGATGCTTATAGTATCTTAATAGAGACAAATTTTCAAAGCACAACACAAAATCATATATATAGTATACTCTCGTTACTTTAAAATTTTTTTTTAAAAAACTGAGTATAGAAAAAAAGACTGAAAAGAAACAGACCAAAATGTGGTAGTGATTGTTACAAGGTGATAAAAATGCTTTTCTTCATCATTCAGGATTTCAACACTGAGGAAATATTTCTTTTATAATAAGAAAATAAATTGCAGGTTCACAAGCACACTTCCCAAAGATATAGAGGTATAGAATTTCTTTATTTTTAAGAAGTTTTCATTTATTAGACAGAGACAGACACCCCTAAAATGCCCACAACAACTGAGACTGGGCCAAGCCAAAGCTGGGAGTCAGGAACTCAATCCAGGTCTCCCCTGTGAATGACAGGAGCCCACTATCTTGAACCACATTACCTCTGCTTCCCAGGGTCTCTTAAGGAGGAAGCTGGAGTCAAGAGCTGAGTATTGAACCCAGGTGAAATGGGAGGTAGGCATTGTAACTGTTAGGTTAAATACCTGCTGACCCAGGAGATAGAAAAAGTCTAAGATTATTTTTGTTCTCTTTCGTTGTTTTGGTCATTTGAACATCTATTTTACCTAAGCCTTAAATTACAACATTTAGTTTTGGAGAAAGAAGTGATTAGAGGGAATACTGTTTGGCAGATAAAGCCAAAGAGTGTTCTGGCTGCTACAACCAGATTTTAAAGATATTCCTGCATCCAACACTCTGGTAGTAGGTTAAGCCTGCGGCTGCAGTGCTGACATCCCATATGGGTACCAGTTCAAGTCCTGACTGCTCCACTTTAAATCCAGCTCCCTACTAATGGCCTGGGAAAGCAGTGGAAGATGACTCAAGTGCTTGGGCCCCCATACCCATGTGGGAGACTCAGAAAAAGCTCCTGACTCCTGGCTTCGAATCAACCCAGTTCCAGTCGTTGCAGCCATTTGGGGAGTGAACCAGCAGATGGAAGAATTCTCTTTCTCTCCCTCTGTTTCTAACTCTGTTTCTCAAATTAATAATAATAATAAAAAGATTTTCCTGCTTATCTGAAATTGCTTGATGTCAAGGGGATGTCCACAGGCAGAGTGGATAGTGAGAGAGAGAGACAGAGAGAAAGGTCTTCCTTTTTTGCCATTGGTTCCCCCTCCAATGGCCGCCGCGGCTGGCGCACTGCAGCCGGTACACCGCGCTGATCCGATGGCAGGAGCCAGGTGCTTCTCCTGGTCTCCCATGGGGTGCAGGGCCCAAGCACTTGGGCCATCCTCCACTGCACTCCCGGGCTACAGCAGAGAGCTGGCCTGGAAGAGGGGCGACCGGGACAGAATCCGGCACCCCAACCAGGACTAGAACCCGGTGTGCCGGCGCCGCAAGGCGGAGGATTAGCCTAGTGAGCCACGGCGCCGGCCCCTGCTTTGCTTCTATGTTAGTCTTCAGTATCTTCTGAAATGAAGAAGATCCCCATTCCTTTTTCCTAACCCCACCTGCGCAGTTTAAGAATGTCAGTGCCACTTTATCAGAAGTTTCATTGGCTAAATCTTCAAACTTAAACCAGAGGCATTGTTTGCTGATTAAATATGCATAGCAGGATTAACTATTTGAGTACTTAGGAAAACTGTAAGGTATGTCCTGTAAATGATAGGATAGAATTTTTTAAATAATATTTTTGAATTTTTAGCTGTGAATTTTAGCTAATTTGTTGCTTAAATTAACCATATGAATTAAAGTGTGGTGCCAGCACATGTGCCATAAAGTCACTAGCCTCTCCTCAAAAATAATATTGTAATAAAAATATTCCTTTCTGTTTTTAGTGACTTTCTGGCTGATCAAGCTGCATGTTATGTTCAGGCAATACAGTGGATTTTGCACTATTACTATCATGGAGTTCAGTCCTGGAGCTGGTGAGAGACTAAAAACAAAAATAGCATTTTGTTTTTTAGTAATGTTTCATTCTACTAGAATCCCATCTAAGAATATCTTTTCCTTTCATTTCTACTTATGCCATATTTTTTTAAACAACCAAGTTTAAAAGAAATACAGATAATCTCTTCTTAAATTAAAGCACTAAGAAAGACTTTTGTATAACAAAAATGCCTCCAGCCCTAATAGATGATTCACAATAAAAGGTCTTTGTTAATTTTAAGAATTTAAAGTTCTTTATCAAAATGAATCAAGTATGACATAGTCTTGGTAATTACTGAGTCTGTGTTATGCTTAGGTAAAGGTTTTCTTCCTACCTTTTTTGTGTTTGAAAAAAAAAGTGTGAGTTATTGCTATTGTATCCAGGCATTAAGTCCAGTCTCTTGAAAAATATGTTCTCATATTATCTTCATAACTGTCTAAAGCAAGCTTTTTTTCCCCTTTTACAGATAAGAGAATTGCAGTTCAGAAAGCTTAAGTAATCTTCCCAAGTGTATACAGTCTAATCCATATGTATCTAATTCCATTGTACACATTTCCCATTATTTCACATGCCATTCTTCCTACCAGACTTTCCCATACTTTTCAAATGTATTCCTTAGGTCCATAGTTATGGATTATAAGACATGTCCTTCCTTTCTTCCCTCCCTTTCTTTCCTGTATCCTGAGTCAAACATTAAGAGAATATTTTTTTAAATTATAAATTGTGTTGAAGCTTTGTAAAAATATTCTTAAAGGTTAGGTATTATATAGTTAAAGGGAAGATATTAAAAATAATTAATGTGTGATTGATATATGGTTTAATCCTTATCACAAACTCACTAATGTGCATAACTGATTCAAAGATAAAAGTTCTTAAAGCTGATTGGTAATAGCTACATTGGCTCAGACTTACTCTTCTTTACTCTGTCCTCATGAGCTCTTTGGGGTTTTTATCAGAACATTTTAGCTGTTTCTAGCCCCTTCAATGTAGGGTTGGTCCAAGTGACCAACTGAAGTACTTCTGACTGCATCATTAATTCTGTTCCAGTCTATTGATTGCAAGATTCATGATCAACGTTTTGGGAATTAAAAGGAGCACTACCTTATATGGCTCCTTCAATTACCTGATAATATACCATCTTAAAAATGTGAAACAACACCTTGAAAATCAGGGAACTGTAATATTTGTTACCATTGTTTGATCTAATTTTTCCAGTGGTGCTAATTTCTTACATTCATATGGTAATACTTTATTTTTGTGAGTATTACTGTGTTTCTTTAAAACTACTGCTATATATTTTAAAAATAAAACATGGGGGAAAGTACGTGCTTAATATTGACTTGTTTTGTGGAGTTGCTAGTTGCTTAAAACACATTTTGTTTTATAGGTATTATCCTTATCATTATGCACCTTTCCTATCTGATATCCGAAATATTAGTACACTCAAAATCCATTTTGAACTTGGAAAACCTTTTAAGCCATTTGAACAGCTTCTTGCTGTACTTCCAGCAGCTAGCAAAAACTTGCTTCCTGCATGTTACCAGGTAGGTTTTAGAATTGAATGTTTTTATGTGCTTTTTGGTAGTTCATAACTCTTTGTCCAGACTGAGAAATAATAGTCTGCAAATTTATTTAGTAACTAAATATATTTATTTTCATTTTAAATATAATATTTAGCACATCTCTTAAAAAGTAATTCCTTGATTTAAAATCAGTTTTTTAAAATTTATTTTTTATTTGAAAGTTAGAGTTATAGGGAGAGAAAGGAGGAAAGACAGAGAACTTCCATCCACTGGTTCACTCCCCAAAATACCACAGTGGCTGGGGCTGGGCCAGGCTGAAGCCAGGAACCATGTGCTTCTTTGGGTCTCCCATGTAGGTGCAGGGGCCCAAGCACATGGGCCATCCTCTGCTGCTTTCCAAGGAGCATTAACCTGGAACTAGATCAGATGTAGAATAGCCAGGACTTTAACCAGCACCCATAGGGATGCCAGTGCTGCAGGCAGTGGTTTAACCCACTGTGCCACATTGCTGGCCCTGTCAGCTTTGTTTTAAAAATACAAATGAACTCCTTAAACCATTCAGAACCCAGCTTCTTTATTTTTAAACCGTTTAAAGCACATCAACTTGTCTCAACACTGAAGAAAGTAAAACAGACAAAATCAGAAGCTATCTACTTGGTCTAAACCATATTTATTTCTCTTTTCTTTTACTTCGGTCTAAACAATATTTATTCCTCTTTTCTTTTACTTCTTATGAATATGAGTGGTTCTAATAAGTCATTTACAGCACTATTACCCATCTAATGAGTATAGTTGCATTTTAAACGTTTCATATATCAAATTGTAAAATGAAAGGATTTCCTCTGGTTAACATTTCATGTATATTTCATATTTAAATACAACATTTCACGTATCAAGAGAAATGTTATTAATGAGGGTGATACACTAAACATACTAGGCTGACTAAAGGTAAGGGTATCTATTTCTATTTTTTAAAAAAATTTTTATTTATTTGAAAGGCAGACAGAAAAAGACAGATGGAGAGAGATCTTCCATATGCTGGTTCACTCCTCAAATGCCAGCCAAAGCCAGGAGCCCAGAACTTAGTCTGGGTGTCCCACATGCATGGCAGGAGTCCAAGTACTTGAACCATCACCCCCTGCCTGTGAGGGTAGCCATTTGCAGGAAGCTGAAATTTGAAGCAGAAGTGGGATTTGAATCCAGGCACTCCAATATGGGATGCAAGTCTCCCAAGCAGCTTCTTAACCACTGAACCAAATGTCCATTTCAGACTTTTGTCCTTCCATAGTCTGAAGAACTTCTGTGAACAGATGCACACACACATACAGACCCCGTTGCTTTAACAATGTTAGAACTCTTCTGCATCATTCTGAACCTTAGTTTATCCTTGATCCTGGCTCCTGACTTCCTTCATATGTTTTTTGGATGCTTATTTTTATTTCTTCAGATACACTGATACTTCTTTCTTCAGATACTTAAATTCAACTACTCTGGAGGATGACCCTGCAAGTGTTTTACAGCCACATCTGTTTTAATTGCTCAGTTCCATGCAGTGTTGCTTATTAAGTATTTTGAGTATCACCTGGGAGTTTGCTGTTTTATTTCTTTCAAAATAATTTTAGGGGCCAGCGCTGTGGCTCACTTGGTTAATTCGCCTACGGCGCCAGCATCCCATATGGGTGCTGGGTTCTAGTCCCAGTTGCTCCTCTTCCAGTCCAGCTCTCTGCTGTGGCCTGGGAGGGCAGTGGAGGATGGCCCAGGTGCTTGGGCCCCTGCACCCGCATGGGAGACCATGAGGAAACACCTGGCTCCTGCCTTCAGATAGGCATATCACCGGCTGTAGTGGCCATTTGGGGAGTAAACCAATGGAAGGAAGACCTTTCTCTCTGTCTGTCTCTCACTTTCTATAACTCTACCTGTCAAATAAAAATAGTAGTAATTTTAGAGGGGCCAGCATTGTGACACAGCAGGTTAAGCTGCAGCATGCAACACTGGCATCCAGTATGAGAGTTGGTTCAAGGCCCTACTGTTCCACTTCCTATCCAGCTCCCTACTAATGTGCCTGGAAAGACAACAGACAATGGCCCAAGTACCTGGGCCCCTGCCACCCACATATGAGACATGGTTGAATTTCCAGGCTCTTGGCTTTGGCCTGGCCCACCCTAGCTGTTGCAGCCATTTGAAGAGTGAACCAAGCCAGCGCCGTGGCTCAATAGGCTAATCCTCCGCCTGCAGCACCGGCACACCGGGTTCTAGTCCCGGTCGGGGCGCCGGATTCTGTCCCGGTCGCCCCTCTTCCAGGCCAGCTCTCTGCTGTGGCCAGGGAGTGCAGTGGAGGATGGCCCAGGTGCTTGGGCCCTGCACCCCATGGGAGACCAGGAGAAGCACCTGGCTGCTGCCTTTGGATCAGCACAGTGTGCCGGCTGCAGCGCGCCGGCCGCGCCGGCCATTGGAGGGTGAACCAACGGCAAAGGAAGACCTTTCTCTCTGTCTCTCTCTCTCACTGTCCACTCTGTCAAAAAAACAAAAAAAGAGTGAACCAGGAATGAATATCTGTGTGTGTGTGTGTGTGTGTGTGTGTGTGTCTCACTCTCACTGTAGTTCTGCCTTTCAAATAAATATCTTCTTAAAATAATAATTTCTTATATAATCTTTCATTGTTATTTCCCATAAGACATCTTTATGCTTTCTTTGTCTACCTCTGTTATATAATCTTTAATAAAAATGTGTTTTTGGAATGTTTCTCTTCAATACAAGTGATGCACTGACTCTTGGATTTTAGGATTTTTTTTTCTTTTTAAATTCAAATGACAGTTGTTAGATTACTTAATGCAACCAATTGATTAGGACACAAAAGTAGATTGTTAATTTGAGGTTAAAATTGGAGGACTGGGCTGGTATTATGGTTTAGCTGGTTTAGCCTACCTCCTGCAGCACCAGCATCCCATATGGTTGCCTGTTCAAGTCCTGGATGCTAATATGCCAGGGAAAGCAGCAGAGTTTGGCCCAAGTACTTGAGCCCCTGCACTCACTTGGGAGACCTGGAAGAAGCTCCAGGCTCCTGGCTTCGGCATAGTCCAGCCCCAGCCATTGTCATTGAGGCCATTTGGGGAGTGAACTAGAAAATGGAAGATCTATCTCTCCCTCTCTCCCTCCTTTCTTTCTCTTCTCCTCTCTCTCTAACTCTGCCTTTCAAATAAATACAAAATAAATCTTTTAAAAAAAGAAGACAATTAGTAGCCTCTTAATGAACTGAAATGAAGTTTAGTGTGAAAATAGAATTTATGTGGTAGGTCTTGTAATGTGAAAAGACAATTAAAAAATGAAAAACAGCAAAGCCCAGAGTAAAACAGGTCATTGATAAATATTAATGAAATAAGAATCCTATAGTAGAAAATCAAAAAATATAGGAAGTATAACATATCTAAGATATAAAAATTTAGCTTGCTTAAAATTTTAAACTAAAATGAGGAAATGCTACAAATATATTTACAAAGATCTAAACTGATATTCTGATTCATATTATACTATTTTATTTTTACAGCATTTGATGACCAGTGAAGACTCACCAATTATAGAATATTATCCACCTGATTTTAAAACAGACCTAAATGGGAAACAACAGGAATGGGAAGCTGTGGTATTAATACCTTTTATTGATGAGGTAAGTATATGAAATTATTGTGTACACACATATATACATATGTAATTTTATATGTATTATACATATATGTATTATATGTAATTGGAGCAAATTTCATGTATTTTGTAAATACAGTTTAGAGAACATAATGGTACTTCCTCCTTCCTTTCTTATTTTTCTTTTAATTTTTATAATGACATACTTTCAATTTGCTTTATAATCACAAGCTTAGTCTTCCACTAAAGAATTCAACAAGTAGTAAGGAGAAATACCACTGTTCCTGAGGAGTATAGACAAGGATTATAAATAATAATTTCAAAATGTCAATTTCACTCATATACATCACATTGTTTTTGTATTCTGTGTATTAGTTATCACAAGTCAGAGAAAACATGATATTTGTCCTTTTGGGACTGACTGGCAAGCATAATATTCTCTAATTGCATCCATTTTGTTGTGAAAGATGGGACTTCATTCTTTTTTTTTGGCTGAGTAGTATTCTGTCATGCATGTATATCACAACTTCTTTATTCAGTCACCAGTTGATGGGCATCTGGGTTGATTCCATATCTTAGCTATTGTGAATTGAGCTGCAATAAACATGGGGGTACAGATAACTATTTCATATGCTGATTTCAAAACAGTTGGAAATAGCAATACTTGCCTCTGAGGAATCAGTAGCACAAGAAGACAAAAAAAAATCAGTAAAGATACATAATACTTGAATAATGCAAGATGCATATTTAGCTACATTAATATTTATAGAACACTACACCCAAAAACTGCAAAATATATTCTTTGTAAGTGAATAAGAAACATTCACAAAGTTTATTTGCTGAACCATAAAACATGTCTTAATAAATTTAAAAGAATTGAAATCATATAGAGAATATTCTCTGAACATGTAGAATTAAATTAGAAGTTAGTAACAAAGATCTGGAAAATCTCTGAATATTTTGAAAATAAATAATACACTTCTCTATAATCTCTGGATGAAAGAAGAAATTAAAACTAGAATTAGAAGGCATTTGGTACAGTGATTAAGGTGCTACGTGGGATACCAGTATCCCATATCAGAGTGCATGTGTTTGAGTCCCAGCTTCCCTTGCCATTCCAGCTTCCAGCTAATACACATCCTGGGAGGCAGCAAATGAGGGCTCAAGTACCTGGGTCCCTGTCACCCTTGTGGGAGATTTGGATTGAGATCTGGGCTGCTGGATTTGTCCTGTTGTAGGCATTTGGATAGTGAACCAGCAGATGTTTGGGTTCTCTCTCTCCTCTCTCTCTCTCTCTCTGCCTTTCAAATAAAATGGAAATAAATGGAAAATTTAAAAATAAAAGGAAAGCTTTAAAAATATTTTATCTGAATGAGTATGAAAATACAGCTTATCATAAACTGTGATTTGACTAAAGTAGAGCTTAAAAGGAAACTTAATGTTCTAAATTAAGAACAAGAAAAAATTTTTTTAATTATATAGCAGCAGGCATGGTGACATGGTTGGTTAAGTGACCTCTTGCGGGGCCAGTGTTGTGGAATAGCAGGTAAAACTGTCACTTGTGATGCTGACATCCCATATGGGCGCCAGTTTGAGTCCTGGATGTTGCACTTCTGATCCAGCTCCCTACTAATGTGCCTGGGAAAGCGGCAGAGGATGGCCCAGGTGCTTGGACCCCTTCACCCAGGTGAAATTCCTAGCTCCTGGCTTACGCCTGACCCAGCCCTGGTCATTGTAGCAATTTGAATAGTGAACCAGCAGATGGGATATTTTTTTTTCTCTCTTTTTCTCAGCTTCTCTCTCTGTAATTCTGCCTTTCAAATAAATATGTAAATAAATCTTTTAAAAATATGTTAACAGAAAGAAATGGCCATGTGGGATGCCCACATCTCATATTGAAGTGCTTGATTCAAGTCCCAGCGACTCGGTACTTCCAATCTAGCTTCCTGGGAATGGGCCTGGGAGGCAGCAGATGATGACTTAAGTGCTTGGGTTCCTGCCACCCAGGTGGGAGAACCAGATGGAATCCCCCTGGCCTAGACCTGACTCTTGCAGGCAATTGCACATCTGTCTGTGTCTTCCTCTCTCTCTCATTCTGCCTTTCAAACGAATAAATTTTTTTTAAAAAGAAAGTTATCCAAGCTTCTGCCTAAGCAGATGAAAAAATAACAAAAGATAGAAATATAAGTCAGGGAAAATGACCAACAGCAGAGAGAAATCAATGAAACTGAACGTTGATTCCTAGATATATGAATCAAGAAAAAAAGTGAGGATGGAGGGGAGAGAGGGAGATACATAAACTGCCAATATTGGGAATATTAGAGGAACTATCCTATAGAGCCTACACATAATGATAGTTAAGGAATATTTTGAACAACTTTATACCAACAAATTCAACATTTTCAAAGAATTTCTTTATCCAACATTTCTTTAAATACACAAGTAACAAAGAAATATAAAAATTTGAACAGTTCTACAACATCTTACTAGTTTTTAAATAAGGGTGCTTGTTGCTTGTAAAAAGACATTTGCTGGCCACTAGACAGAGGACTAAGCTATGAGATAGTCATTATTGCCTGCATGTATGCAAACTTAGTTCCATATAGATGTTTATTGCTGTTCATCCAGTTATCACGTTAATTCTTTGTGAATGATGTTTCTTTTCAGCTTGAGAACCTAAAGGACATTTTAAGTAGTTTCAAAAAGATTTATTATGATATACCTCTGATAAAAACTTGTAGCAACAGAATTACTACATTCTTTATAGTTTTTGTAAACAAAAACTATAAGCTCAGAATTTATGTGCAAAGTAAGGTATCTGAAAATAGGTATGTAGATATGAAAAGCAAAGTTCCTGTTATACTTTAATCAGAGAAAGTAATGGTGGAAACATCAAATTGGGATACATGGCAGGATTTTCAGAGCTGAGAGATATTGATGAGACCAATTTGTGCCTCATAGAGAATTATTGCTCAAATTCTAGTAGTATAAGCAGGAAGAGCTTAACCTGTAAGGTGTGAACTTTGCACATATACACACGTATATATACACATGCACACACACACGTCCTTTCAGCTTGAGCTTGTGTGAGACTTCCTTTCACATCTATGCATTTTTTATTAGTGCTCCATCTGATTCATCTGATTTATTTATGGGTGCAAGGTGAGGAGGTTGATATGAGCAAGAGATGGGTACAGTTTAAAGTCACTTTACTTGCTCACAATTCTGAGTCAGCAGTTTGGACTGGGTCAGGTTTGTTCTTTTTTTTTTTTTTTTTGACAGGCAGAGTGGACAGTGAGAGAGAGAGACAGAGAGAAAGGTCTTCCTTTGCCGTTGGTTCACCCTCCAATGGCCGCCGCAGCCGACGCGCTGCGGCCGGCGCACCGCGCTGATCCGATGGCAGGAGCCAGGAGCCAGGTGCTTTTCCTGGTCTCCCATGGGGTGCAGGGCCCAAGCACCTGGGCCATCCTCCACTGCACTCCCTGGCCACAGCAGAGGGCTGGCCTGGAAGAGGGGCAACCGGGACAGAAGCCGGCGCCCCGACCAGGACTAGAACCCGGTGTGCCGGCGCCGCTAGGCGGAGGATTAGCCTAGTGAGCTGCGGCGCCGGCCGGTATTACAGTTCTATATACCAAGTTTAATGATGATTCCATGAAAGTATGTGTATGATAAAAGTTCTATGGTGCCAGGTACCAAAAGCAAAAAGTCAATTGTAAAAATTAGTATATTAGTTAATGGTGTTGTGCCTCTTTCATTGTCATTGGGTTTGGTAATGAACTATTCCTAAATGTAAGATGTTACCATTGGGAAAAACTAGTCAAAGGTACATAGAAATATTCTGTACTAATTTTGTAACATCTTGTGAATCTTAAATTGTTATTTTGGAAAAGTCTCAGAGGGCTGTCACTTGTCTAGCATAATGTCCTATCATTGACAGCATTACCCCATGATGTATAATCCAAGGAAAAGAGTGACAAGCTATCTTCAGTCAGCAAATATTGATTGAATATTTCCTTTGTACCTGGCTAAAAGCTGTGTACTTATACAATTTTGTCTTTAGTAGAATTGTCTACTTTCCCCCCAGTTATATAAATAAAAAGCTTAAGCACTTTCTCTCTTAGAATCTTATTGTATGTATTATAAATTTAATTTTTTTCTACAAATAGCAAAAGGTTTTATGTGTAAAGATGGATATACTCATACTCATGGTGGTACGTGTGTGTGTGTGTGAGAATGAGAGATGTTTGCTTATTTGGTTTACTACTATTTAGTTAACTTTTTTATGAAATAACAGTCTCTCTCTATTCTAAGGTAGTCATTAAAACATAAACAATTTATAGAAAGTTTGTTTTTGCGGGGACAGCATTGTGGCACAGAGGTTAAGCCACTGCTTGTGACACCAGAGTACAACTGGTTCACATCCCAGCTCCTCTACTTCCAATCTACTTAGGATGCATAAATCCTGTATCCAAGTACCTGTTCAAGACCTGACTACTCTACTTCTTATCCAACTTAGTGCAAATGTGCATGCAAGGCAGTAGATGATGGCCCAAATGCTTAGGTTTCTGCCATCCTGTGGGAGACCAGAATTGAGTTCTTAGTCCTGGCTTTTTTTAAATGGGACACATAAGTCTTTTTCTACAACTTCTTCTTTCCTATAATAAAAATATTATGAATATCCCATCAGGTTAGTAGATAGAAATCTTACACATTCTTTGATAGTATATGTCATAGTATGAATGTACCAAAACTTATTCACCCAAAACCCTTATGGATAGTCAGCTACCTCATGTGTCATTGGCTAGTGAGTGTAGTTTTGTGATACAAGTGCTAATGTATTAATGTACTCTTTTTGAGTTTTTAAAAATTATTTATTTGAATGGCTGGTATTGTGGCATAATGGGTTAAACCTCTACCTGCAATGCCTGCATCCCATTTGGGCACCAGTTCAAGACCTTGCTGCTGCACTTCCAATCCAGCTCCCTGCTAATGTGCCTGGGAAAGCAGTGGAAGATGGACCAACTGTTTGGGCCCATGTACTCACGTGGGAGACTTTGATGAAACTCCTGGCTTTGGCCTTGCTCTGCCTCAACTGTTGCAGCTATCTAGGGAGTGAACCAACAGATGGAAGATCTCTCTGTGTCTCTCCCTCTCTGTCTCTGTAACTTTGCCTTTTCAAATAAATAAAATAAATGGTTTTTTAAAATTTTTTAAATTATGTATTTGAAAGAGGGGGAAGACTTATCACCCATTGTTGATTCACTCCTCAAATGCCTACAAGAGTTTGGATTAAGTCAGACTGAAACCAAGATCCATGAACTCCATCAGGGTCTCCCTCATGGTTGGCAGGGACCCAAGTACTGGAGGTATTGCCTGCTGTCTCCCAGGGTACACATTATCAAGAAGCTGGAATCAAAAGCAGAATGAGAACTCAAATCCAGGCATTCCGATATGAGTGTATCCCAAGCAGCATCTTAATTGCTGCAGAATATGTTCACTCTATCTTTTTGTGTTTTTTAAATATATTCTTCTGTATTATGAACCTTCTATAAAGTTAACTTCCAAAAGCAGGATTGCTTAACAGAAATGTACATTTTTCATTTTAGTGGAAGTTAATAGATTACCTTTCAAGAAGCTTGGTTCAGTTTACACTAGCAATATTTGAGTGCTCACTTTGCTGCTTCTACTATTGCTTTTTCTAATTTTTGTCAATCTATTGATGATAAAAAGTGTCACTGTCTTATTATTCAGTTTTTCTCCCTGGTTCTTAATTTGAGTATATTTTTCCCCAGTTTTACTGAGGTGTAATTGACATAAAATTGTATATATTTAAGATATGCCACAAAATGTTTCTTTTCAAAGATTTTATTTATTTGAAAGGTGAAGTTATCAGAGGCAGAGAAAGAGAGAGAGATGTTCCATCTATTGATTTACTCCACAAAGGGCCACAAAGGCCGGAGCTGGGCTGATCCAAAGCCAGGAGCCTGGAGTTTCTTCCCACTCTCCCATGTGGTTACAGGGGCCTAAGCTCCTGGGCCATCTTCTACTGCTTTCCCAGGCCATAGCAGGGAGCTGGATCGGAAGAGGAGCAGCCGGGACTAGAACCAATGCCCATATGGGTTGCTGGCAATGCAGGTGGAGGATTAAACTACTGCACCACATCCTCGTCCCCTATTCTACTTTTAGAGTTCAACATATTTAGATTCCACACATAAGTGATTCAGGGTTTGTCCGTCTGTGTCTGACGTGACATAATGTCCGCCAGGTCCATCCATGTTGTCACAAATGACAAGACATACTAATTTTTTAGGGCTGAATAGTATTCCATTGTGAGTGTGGGCTGTGTATATTACATATATTTCTTTTTTAAGTTTGTATTTAATGAATGCATTTTTTTCATAGATACAACTTTAGGAATATAGTGGTTCTTTCCCCCATACCCACCCTCCCACCCCACCTCCCATCCCACCTCCCTCTCCCATCTCCTTCTTCATTATGGTTCATTTTTAGTTTGATTTTAGATACAGAGGACCAACTCCATGTTAAGCTCAGATTTCAACAATTTGCACCCCCCCACACACATATAGAGTACAGTTTGAGAACAAGATTTGCAGTCAATTCTCATAGTACAACTCATTAAGGATGGAGGTCCTACATGAGGAGTAAGTGCACAGTGACTTCTGTTATTCTTTTAACAATTAACACTCTTATTTGTGATGTAGTGATCACTCGAGGCTCTTGCCATAGACTGCCAAGGCTATGGAAGCCTTTTGTGACCATAGACTCCATCGGTATTTGGACACGGCCATAAGCAAAAGTGGATGTTCTTTCCTCCCTTCAGAGAAGAGTACATCCTTCTTTGATGGCCCTTTCTTTCCACTGAGGTCTCACAGAGATCCGTTACATATATTCTTTATCTATTCATCTATTGATGGACACTTAGGTTGATTTTGTTGCTTGGCTGTTGTGAATAATAGTGTAACAACCATGGGATTGCAGATTTCTCTTTGACATACTGATTTCATTTCCTTTGGCTGTATACCCAGTAGTGAAATTGATGGATCAAACACTAGTTTTAATTTTTTAAAGTACTTCCATGCTGTTTTCCATAAAAGCTATACTAACTTATGTTATTACTCTATACATAATATATAATTTATATACTAATTTACATGTAGAAAGTGTTCCCTTTTTCTGTATTGGTATCAATTTTATTTTTTTTGTCTTTTTAATAATAGCCATTCTAACAAGTGTGAGATGATACCTCATTGTGGTTTTAGCTTACATTTCTCTGATGTTAGTAATGTTGAGTGTATTTTCATAATACATATGACCATTTGTATGTCTTTTGGGAAATGTCTATTCAAGTCCTCTGCTTATTTTATAATTGGGTTATTGGGGGGGCTTTAATTTTTATATTTTAGATAATAATCCTTTGTGAGATTTAAAATTTACAGATATTTTCTCCCATTATCACTCTGTTGATTGCTACCTTTGCTGTATGAAGAAAAAGCTTTTTGATTCAAATTCACACTTGTCTGTCTGTTTTTCTTACCTGTGCATTTGTGGGTATATCCAAAAAATCATTAACCAGACCAGTGTCAAGAAACTTTCCCTGTTTTCTTCTGCTAGTTTTATAGATTCATGTCTTAAAGTCTTCAGTTCATTTTGAGTTGGTTTTTGGATATGATGTAAGATGAGGGTCCAATTTCTTGCTTCTACATGTGGCTCTTCAATTTTCCCGTCATTTATTGAAGAGATTATATCTTTCCCCATTATATATATTTTAATATATGTTTTCATAATTGGCAAAATTGTACATACTTATGGTGTACAGTCTGATATTTAAATGCATGTATGTAACATTATGATCCAATTAATTAGCATGTACATCCATTATATGTTCTTGACACTCTGTCAAGTCCCAAATTCCTTTTTGCTGTTCATAAATTCATTTTTTCATATGTAAACTGACATCATTTTTGTCCTTTTTTTAAAGAAACTACTTTAAAGCACTGATTGGAGTTACATGTTAATTTGGAAAGGTAGATATTGTTATACCACTGCAGAATTTATAAAGAAACAGAATGCTCTGTGAATTAGGTAATAATTAATCATAAATTCACATTTAAACTTTGATTTCTGTGCTACTGCACTTATCTGCACTTTAGCAGTTACTGTGAAGAATAATAGCTTAGGGGCCAGCATTCTGGCATAGCAGGTTAAGCCTCCACGTGTGATGCCAACATCCCATATCTACAGTGGTTTGAGTCCCCACTGTCCCGCTTCCTATCCAGCTCCCTGCTTATGTGCCTGGGAAAGCAGCAGAAGATGGCCCAACTGCTTGGGCCCCTGTACCCACATCGGAGACCCAGAAGACGACCCTGGCTCTTGGCTTCAGCCTGGCCCAGTCCCCACCATTGTGGCCATTTGAGGAGTGAACCAACGGATGGAAGATCTCTCCCTCTGTCTCTCCTTGTCTGTGTAACTCTGCCTTTCATTTAAACAGATAAATCTTTAAAATGAAAAAAAGAAAAGAGTAGTATCTTCAGAGGAATCTGCAGTGGCAGCGATATTCTAGAGACCTTTGAAAGAAATAAATAATGTCAGTTTTTTATTTCATGAAATAGATTTTTCCATTAGTTAAGAATTTGCTTTTCAAGAATACAAATAGTGATTCTGTATATGATTGGAAAATATTTGTTCTGTATGTTGAGATCACAGAATTTTTAAAAAGATTTGCTTATTTATTTATTTATTTAAAAGAGTTACAGAGAGAGAGAGAGACAAGAGGGATTGATCAATTGATCTTCTGTCTGCTGTTTCGCTCCCCAAGTGGCTGCAATGGCTGGGGCTGGGCCAGGCTGAAGCCAGGAGCCAGGAGCTTCTTCTGGGTTTCCCATGTGTGTGTAGGGGCCCAAGCACTCGGGTCATCTTCTGCTGCTTTCCCAGGCGTGTTAGCAGGAAGCTGGATACAAAGTGGGACAGCTGGGACTCAAACCACTGCCCATATGGGATGCTGGCATCACAGGTGGAGAATTTACCTGCTATGCCACAGTGCTAGCCCCGAGATCACAGAATTTTTATGCTGCTAACATTCCTCTTCAATCTTTATATTCAGAAGCGATTGTTGGAAGCAATGGAAGCTTGTAATCACTCCCTCAAAAAGGAAGAGAGGAAAAGAAACCAACATAGCGAGTGCCTAATGTGTTGGTATGATGGAGAAACAGAGTTCACCTACCCCTCTCCATGGCCAGAAAAGTTTCCTGCCATAGAACGATGTTGTGCAAGGTAATGTTGTTTGGTAATTTTTTTTTTTTAACAGCAATAAAAGTATGCCCTGACTCCCACACACATGCACACACATGATGTTGAATATCTATTTGAAGAATTAATAGACAGTTTCATATATATAGCCATTGTTAATTAATGAGTTATATCCAGCTTGCCAAGAATCATAGCATCTCTTAACATCTGTTTCTATAAACCGTTTTCTCTACTTTAATGAGATTCTACTTCTCTCTTTCCTTCTGTTAAAGTTGTGAATTTTTCTCTTTAGTGTTTCTGCCATGTTTTCCTCTCCCCAAAAGTTCTTTGTCTGCATTTTATTTCCATTTTCCTTGTCTCTGCTCCAAGCATTAGATACACTACGATTTAGTATCTTATTCCTGCTAACTACCCAAGTAGGACAAAGGAAAAAAAATTAAGCCTCTATGTTTTCTTACCTCAGATCCATTTTTTTCCTTTCTTTTCTTCATTAAAATGTCTTCGTTTTTTTCTCCTTTCTCACTCTCCCTTCAATCTGCCCAGTCAGCAGTTGAGTTACTAATAAAGCAGATATCTCCCAGTTATGATTTTTCCTCTTGTTAAGGCAAAGTAAAAGATGAAATTGGTATTATGAAATGTTAATTTGGGGGACCAGCATTATGGCATAGCAGGTTAAACCACGGCCTGCAACACTGGCTTCTCATATGGGCACCAGTTCCAGTCCTGGTTGCTCCACTTCCAATCCAGCTCCCTGCTAATTGTGCCTGAGAATGCAGCAGAGGATGGTCCAAGTGCTTGGGCCCCTGCACCCATAGGGGAGACCTGGAAGAAGTTCCTGACTTCAGAGCAGCCCAGCTCCAGCTTTTGCAGCCATTTGGGGAGTGAACCAGTGGATGAAGATGGATCTCTCTGTCTTTATGTGTTTCTCCCTCTGTAAACTCTGCTTTTCAAATAAATAAATATTTTTAAATGTTAATTTTCTTTTTTTTTTTTAAGATTTATTAATCTTTTTATTTGAAAGGAAGAGTTACAGAGAGGCAGAGGCAAAGGTAGTGATTGAAAGAGGTCTTCTATCCGCTGATTCACTCCCTAGACAGCCGCAATGGCTGAAGCTGTGCCGATCCAAAGCCAGGATCCAGGAGCTTCTTTTGGATCTCCACACGGATGCAAGGGCACAAGGACCTGGGCCATCTTCTACTGCTTTCCAAGACCATAGCAGAGAGCTGGATCTGAAGTAGAGCAGCTGGGACATGAAACATTGCCCATACGGGATGCCAGCACTGCAGGCGGCAGCTTTACCCACTATACCACAGCGCTGGCCCCTAAAAATGTTAATTTCCTATCCTGGGTCCCAGAACATGAAAAATATAAAGATTTGTTATGCTTTATCCTTTCCTTATAAGAGCAGGTATCATGGCATAGTGGGTGAAGCCACCACTTGGTACACTCACATCTCATATCAGTGCCTAGTACAATTCCTGGCTGCTCTGTACTTCCAGTCCATCTTCTTGCTGATGTGCCTGGGAGGCAGCAGGTGATTGCCCAGGATCTTGATTCCTTCCAAATATCCATGTGGGAGACCAGGATGAAGTTCCTGGCTACTGGCTCTGGCCTGACTTAACCCAAATATTGTGGGTGTTTGGGAATAAACCAGTGGATGGCAGATCTTTTGTTCTCTCTCTCTACCTCTCTTTCCCTTTCAAATAAATATATATATAAATATTTTAGTTTTATTTAAAATTAATGGGGGAAAACTTCTGCTTAGTAATCTATATTCATGATTGTATCTGGCCCAATAACAGAGGAGCTAGCTTTGCCTGCTTTGTGTTTTTCTTAAGTAGCAAGAATGACTCTTGCAAAATATTCAAAGGAAATTAAAAACCTAATTGACTGTATTGTATGAATTTTAAATGAAATGCCTTTGTTTATTTTCCAGGTACAAAATAATATCATTAGATGCTTGGCGTGTAGACATAAATAAGAACAAAATAACCAAGGTTGACCAGAAAGCATTGTATTTCTGTGGATTTCCTTCTCTGAAACACATCAAACACAATGTCAGTGACTTTTTGGTTCAGAGCTCTTTTACTTTATTAAATGCAAAGTGATTAAAAAGCGTTAAAATTAAATTTTTATGATTCTTTTAGTTTTTTTTGAAGAAAAGTGGTGTTCAAGTGTTCCAGCAAAGCAGTCGTGGTGAAAACATGATGTTGGAAATCTTAATGAATACAGGCTCAGATGAACTTGTGAGTATTTTATTTCTCATTCATTTACTGAAGCTTACTAGGCATAAAACTATTTATAGGTGCTGAAGTATTTACGAAGGAGGTGTAACATGCTGTTAACTCCAGAAATTCAAAATCTAAATAAGGATAAAGCTAAGAAACATATACACAAATTATATAACAATTTAAGAACTAAATAATTGTGGTACCATAAGCAAAAATTGTTCCTGGAATTTTGAAAACGAAATGAGCCAACACTATAGGCTTGTAGATGAAAATAGTCTTGAGCTGGATGCTAAAAACCCTTTAAGACAAAGGAGAAGAGAAGAAAGGCATTTTACCTGAAAGAAACATGAGATGGGGATTTTAGTTTTTAAAAAATGCAGTATGTTATCTTATTCTTTTATGTTTTTTAGTATGTCTGAAATATTTCTTAATACTTTTTCTTTTGTTAGAATAAGTGTGATATATTTGAGGAGAAGGCATAGATAAACCTGACTGAAGCAGAGGACTTGTGTTGGGAAGTAGTGGAAGATAAGGTTGAAAAAACAGATTGAGGTCAAATTATGGAGGAAGACCTTGAATACCAGGCTAAGGAGTTTGAACTTTTTTTTTTACATGATTGTTATCTTGAAATTGGTATTTTCGTGAAGATTAATTTGGTGGCAGTATATTAAACTAAATTGCACAAAAGATTTGTGGAAGATAATGGGAAAGCCTGCAAATTCAGAGATTGTAGCATTAGACTATAAGAACATAAACTGTGGAAATAGCCATAGATCTAGAGGAACAAGATAAAGTAAAATTAACATTATTTATGTTCAAATATGGGTAATTAAAAGAGGAACAAAATAGTAAATATGACTGAAATACCCAAGCTAGTTAAAGATAATTACATTGTACTGGACTAGAAAAGGGAAAAGAAGAAAGTTGCTGATTTAGGAAGATTAATGATAAATATAATAGAAATTTAAGGTGGTAATGGGATATTTAACAGGAGGTGTACCTCTAGCCTTTCTCACCCAATTTTCTACAAGAGATATGAGCCCCAGTTCTCTAAATCATTCTTTATATGTAATAAATTAGTGTATCTTTTGTGCATTTAGAATAGTACTAATTACATACCATCATACATAATTGAGAAAATGGATCATTTTTTGTGTTCAGTGGTTCAGGAGAAAAAAGTTTATAGAGGCTTTTAATAAACCATTAGATACTTAGAGCTAGAGCTTCAAGGGAGGTAGGTCTATACAAAATAAAATTGAGAACTGGTGAATGGAGCCTTGTGGCTCATTTTCCTAAAGAAAATACACTAAAGTGTGCGTAGTTTCAAAATAATGCTAGTAAAAGTGACACAGTGACAGAAAAGTAAGAAAGAATGATTGCCAAGTAGTATCACAAAAGCATGGAGAAAGGCTGTATGCTGCACAATTTTTGCAGGAAAAATAAAAACTAAAATAAGATCTGTGAATCTGTGCTATAGAGTATCAGTTTTGGCCATTGAGAATTCTGTTCCAGTAAACTGGTGCAAGCAGAAGTCCCAAGCCCTAAGGACAAGGCCAGAACTAGGAGAGAGGGAATAATGATAGCAGGTATAAGTGATTGGTCAAGTTTTCTTTGAAAAGAGAGCTAGAAACAAATAATAACTGGAAGTAGAGAAGGAGGAAATCATCAAGCAAGATCCATGTAAAAGACAGGAGATAACACTAATTGGAGGAGAAAGGAGATCTAAAAGCCACTGAAGAGGAAAAGGCTGTTTTGAAAACTAGACCCCATGTGAAGTAATAAGGGAGTTTTTCCAGGCATAAATAAAGGTTTAACCTAGGAAAGGAGACAACTTTTCAACAAAAACTGAAGAAAAGGGTACAAGAATTAAATCAGATATAGACGTATATAATGAAAAGGGAAGCTTGTTCTATTGATAACTTGTTTATTTGTCAAAATAGTTTTTCTGTTTTGTAAGTTCACAATAAGAAATGTCTGAATAGAAAAATAAGTAATTACTCAAAAGTCAAAAGTAATCTTTAATTGTTAAAGAAATGATTGTTAATAATGACTAAGGATAATAAAAAATAAATGAAAATTTGTATTTAAACTTTAGTTTCTACTACCAAATTGTTGTCTATCTATATGTATAAATTGGATAATACATCTTAAATATAGTTTATTTATTTATTTATTTTTGACAGACAGAGTGGACAGTGAGAGAGAGAGAGAGACAGAGAGAAAGGTCTTCCTTTGCCGTTGGTTCACCCTCCAATGGCCGCCATGGCTGGTACGCTGCGGCCGGCGCACCGCGCTGATCCGATGGCAGGAGCCAGGTACTTCTCCTGGTCTCCCATGGGGTGCAGGGCCCAAGCACTTGGGCCATCCTCCACTGCACTCCTGGGCCACAGCAGAGAGCTGGCCTGGAAGAGGGGCAACCGGGACAGAATCTGGCGCCCCGACCGGGACTAGAACCCAGTGTGCCAGCACTGCAAGGCGGAGGATTAGCCTAGTGAGCCGCTGCACCGGCCTAAATATAGTTTAAAACTAAAACTTTAAGAAATTTTGTACAGAATATTTGTACAGAATTTTTCAGTTTGTAAAACATTTTGTGTTTATTATTTTCTTTGATCCCCAGCATTGTAAGGTAGACATCATTTCTTCTCACAAAAGAAAACTGAGAATTATTTAAGATGGATGATTTGCCCAAGATTATTATGACTGAAAAGAGAGAGAACCTAAATTTGGACCTTAGTCTCCTGATTTTAAATCTACTATTCTTTTTTCCATTATATTTAGCACAAATTGAAATTAAATTATATTTCTTACATTCTGTTTTAAATATCTATTTCTTGAGAAATGATGAATAGCCCTTTTCTAGACATTTCTTTTTCTCCTCACTTTTCTTAGTTAACATGAGAAAAATAAAGATATGAGTCTAATTAGTAGAATCATGAAATTTTACAACTGGATAGAATTTTGTAAAAACTACTCCAACTTGATCACTTAACAAATTAAAAAATTAATTGGAGATTGAAAAATGTTGCCTGTGTAAAGTTTTCTCTTGGACCTAATGCATGAATGAACTTTTCTGCTTTTAATTTAAGAGTATAGAAAATGTAGCTTCATCTGTACTTGGAAAGTCTGTCTTTGTTAATTGGCCTCACCTTGAAGAAGCTAGAGTTGTGGCTGTATCAGATGGAGAAACTAAGTAAGTAAAATTTGGTTTATCATTTTTAAACTTACAGTTATTTGCTTTTATGGCTTTTATTGATTCATTTTTTTTCACTGATAAAATTATTCTGAGAACATTTACCACCGCAGTGAAATAAGTCTTTAATCACACCATTCAAAGTAATGTCAGTATTGAGAGTTTATTGTAAATCCTTTGAGATATTTTAGATGCATATGTTGTGTTTTGCTTTCATTTTCCCTTCTTATCCTCTTAATAGCTTGCAAGGTTTTTTGTTTGTTTGTTTGTTTGTTTTTAAGATTTCTTTATTTATTTGAAAGCCAGAGAGAGAGAGAGAGAGAGGTGTCTTCCATCCGCTGGTTCACTCCCCAAATGGCTGCAACTGCTCTAGCTACACCAATCCAAAGCCAGGAGCCAGGAGCTTCTTCCTGGTCTCCCATGCAGGTGCAGAGGCCTAAGGACCTGGGCCATCCTCTACTGCTTTCTCAGGCCATAGCAAAGAGCTGGATTGGAAGTGGAGCAGCCAAGACTCGAACCAGCACCCATATGGGATGCAAGCATTGCAGATGGCAGCTTTACCCGCTACGCCACAGCACTACCCCTTGGAAGTTTTATATCCTAATTCTTTCCTTAGCAGTTGTTATCATTACATTATTAATGTAAATATAATTAAGCAAATATAATTCTCTTTTGAGAATAATTGATAGCATATAAGACCTTACCTTTACCATGTTCCTCTTATGCTTCATTTAAGTAATAATGTTTTTAAAATACATGTTTTAACTTTAAGAATAATTTATTCACATTTTATTCAAGTTCAGAATCATTTTATCAAGAATAGTTATTTAAGCTTTTATTTGTTATTTTTTACCATTATTTTGTGTAAACCTTGTCTTCCTGATTTCTTGTTCTTTTGTTACTTTCCATGTGGCAAGAATATTCTGAAGTAATTTTTTTCAGAAAAAATGGGTGGGTGTTATGTTTTCTGAGTTACTGCATGTCTAAAATATCTTTCCCGTTCCCCCCGGTTTTCTTCACACATGAATTTAGAATTTTAGAGGAATAATCCTTTTTCCTTAGCTCACATACATCTCTTCTTGAATATTGTTGATGAGAAAGAAATCAATGCCAGTTTGTTTTTTTCCCTTTGTTGGTATCTACTTTTCTGTAACAATCCTGAGGAATATTTTTTAATCATCAAAATGCTGTTCACCTACTTTTTTGATGAAGTCCAGTTTTATCAGATTTTTTCTTTATGCCTTTGGTATCAGGTCTAAAAATACACATAGCCATAGATCCTCATTGTCTCATTTTTTGGGAAAAGTTTTATAGTTTATCTCCTTGTACAGTAAATCAGTAATCCATTTTGAATTAATTTTTATATAAAGCATGACATTTAAATCAGGTTTCATATATTTGCCTAGGAGTATTCAGTTGCTCTGGCATCATTTATGCAAAAGACCTTATATAAATTTTAGGATATGTCTATGAAAAATGTGGAAGGGATTTTGATAGAAATTATATGAAGCCTATAAACTAATTTGAGGTTTGACATCTCTACTATATTATCTTCTAAACCATGAACACAGTTATGTTGCTGTTTATTTAAATCTTTTATTTCTTTCATCAGTGGTTTTTTTTTTTTTTGCATCATACAGTTCATATACATGTTTTCTAGATTTATACCTAAGTATTTATTTTTCTTGGAGCAACTATAAATGGTAGTTGTGTTTTAAATATGATTCCCAAGTTAGGACATAGAAACACATTTATTTTTTATTTGTTGATTTATATCCTACAACCTTACTGAGCTTACTTTTTGGCCTTTTATTTTTGATGAGTCCTGCTAGTTATTTTGTAGAATTGTCAGTTTAACTATTGTTGCTCATAGTGTCATTTAGTTTGTTTTTGTTTGTTTGTTTGTTTGTTTTTGACAGGCAGAGTGGATAGTGAGAGAGAGAGACAGAAAGGTCTTCCTTTTGCCGTTGGTTCACCCTCCAATGGCCGCCACGGCTGGCGCACTGCGGCCGGCACATCGCGCTGATCCAAAGCCAGGAGCCAGGTGCTTCTCCTGGTCTCCCATGAGGGTGCAGGGCCCAAGCACTTGGGCCATCCTCCACTGCACTCCCGGGCCACAGCAGAGAGCTGGCCTGGAAAAGGGGCACCTGGGACAGAATCCGGCGCACCGACCGGGACTAGAACCCGGTGTGCTGGTGCCGCAAGGTGGAAGATTAGCCTATCGAGCTGCAGCGCCGGCCTCGTAGTGTCATTTAGCTTGGTCTTTTATCTCACATATATCCCATAACTTAGAAATTAGATCTAGTGGTTGATTTGATTCAGATGAAACATTTTTGACAAAAATATGTACTTTGTATTAAACTTTTAAGTATTTTTAATTCTTCAATATGCTTGCTTTTTGTTACATAGTTTCTTAAAGAAAAAAATAATTTACTTTTAATTTCCTATTGAAATTCTTATTTATTTATTTATTTATTTGAAAGGTAGAGTTGCAGAGAAGGAAAGGCAGAGGCAGAAAGGGAGAAGTCTTCCATCCACTGGTTCACTCCCTAAATGGCCACAACAGCCAGACCAAAGCCAGGAACCAGGAGCTTCATCCAGGCTTATCACGTGGGTGCAGGGGCCCAAGCACTTGGGCCTTCCTCCACTGCCTTCCCAGGCACATTACCAGGGAGCTGGATGGGAAGCAGAGCAGCTGGGACTCAAACTGGCACCCATATGGGATGCCAACACTGCAGGCGGTGGCTTAACCTGCTCTGCCACATTATCAGCCTCAATTCTATTGAAATCCCTTGCAAGTCCTTGGTCTATGGTTTATATTACAGTACCTTTTTTTTTTTTTTTTGAAGATTTATTTATTTATTTGAAAGGCAGATTTACAGAGAGGCAGAAAGAGAGGTCTTCCATCTGCTGGTTCACTCACCAAATTGCTGCAATGGCTGGAGCTGTGCAGTTCTGAAGCCAGGAGCCAAGAGCTTCTTCTGAGTCTCCCAAGCCGGTACAGAGACCCAAGGACCCAGGCCATCCTCTACTGCTTTCCCAGGCCACAGCAGAGAGCTGGATTGGAAATGGAGCAGCTGGACTTAAAACAGCGCCCATATGGGCTGCCAGCATTGCAGGTGGCAGCTTTATTCATAATGCCACAATGCCGGCCCTGTGCTTTTTTTTTTCTTTTTTTTTTGAGATTTTGTTTATTTATTTATTTGAGAGGTAAAGTTACAGAGAGGCCGGCGCGGCTCACTAGGCTAATCCTCCACCTTGCGGCGCCGGCACACCGGGTTCTAGTCCCGGTCGGGGCGCCGGATTCTGTCCTGTTTGCTCCTCTTCCAGTCCAGCTCTCTGCTGTGGCCCAGGAGTGCAGTGGAGGATGGCCCAAGTGCTTGGGCCCTGCACCCTCATGGGAGACCAGGAGAAGCACCTGGCTCCTGGCTTTGGATCAGCGCAGTGCGCCGGCCGCAGCACACTGGCCGCAGTGGCCATTGCGGGGTGAACCAATGGCAAAGGAAGACCTTTCTCTCTGTCTCTCTCTCTCACTGTCCACTCTGCCTGTCCACAAAAAATAAAATAAAATAAAATAAATTAAAAAAAATAAAGTTACAGAGAGAGGGAGAGACAAGGAGAAAGGTCTTCCATCCCTTCCATCCACTGGTTCACTCCCCAAGTGGCTGCAACTGCTGGTACCGATCCATAGCCAGGAGCCAAGAGCTTCTTCCAGGACTCCCACACAGGTGTAGGGGCCCAAGGACTTGGGCCATCTTCTACTGCTTTCCCAGGCCATAGCAGAGAGCTGGATCAGAAGAGGAGCAAGCCAGGACATGACTCAGCACCCATATGGGATTCTGGAGCCTCCAGCAGAGGCTTAGCACACTATTCCACAGCGCCAGCCCTATATTACAGTTCTCAAAAGGAGGCTTGCTCATTCCTCTCTCTCTCTCTTTCTCTCTTTCTTTTTGTTACCTCATATAGAAATGTTTTCATTTTTAAAAATACTGCTGTTAAAACTCTATGTTAAACCGTAAGTTTTGGGTTATATAGTTTTTATTTTAATTTCTAAGGTTTTACTTGGAAGAACCTCCAGGAACGCAGAAACTTTATTTGGGAAGAACTGCCCCACCGTCTAAAGTGGTCCATCTTGGGGATAAAGAACAATCTAACTGGGCAAAAGAAGTACAAGGAATTTCAGAACAGTGAGTATCATGAAAAGTATTTAATGTCATAGAACTAGGATCTATTTTAATGTATTCATCCTCTTACTAATTTTCAATTTACCATAGTGCTTACTCTGCATATTGACTGCATCTTCATCCCATATTCTAAATATAATAATGAGTTCTAGTTTAAAATAGTGTCTAGTTACCAGAAGTCAAATTATCCAGTTGGTTGTTTTGGTTTTTTATGATTGATTTATTCATTTTTTAAAAGTTACAAACAGAGGGAGAGAGAGATCTTTCATCCACTGGTTCATTCCCTAAATGGCTGCAATGGCCAGGGCTGGGCCAGGCCGAAGCCAGGGGTTTCATCCGGGTCTCAATGCTTAGGCCATCTTCCACTACTTTTCCCAGGCCAGTAGCAGGGAGCTGGATCAGAAGTAGAACAGCTGGGACATGAATTGGTAGTGCCCATATGGGGTGCCATTGAGGCAGATGGCAGCTTTACCTGCTACGCCACATTACCAGCCCCAACCTTGTCCAGTTTGTCACTAAAATAATTCATGAAGTGCAGAAAAAAAAATAGAATGACATGATCACTTAATATTATTAAGAATAACATTTAGTATGTTACTTAAACTTCAAAGTTATTTTTATTAGGCATAAGGCCATTGAATTTTTTGGCTACATGTAAGTAATGAAGAAAATATGAAGACCTTTTGTTCCTCATCCTCTCCCCTTGTCCACTCCCCTTGGTCCTTCTCTACCCAACTCTGTATACCTCTGAGTATAGAAACATACAGGGTAAACATCCAACAACCACACTAGGGTGGGTTCTCATTAGAAGCTAATTATGAAGGTCACCAGAGTGCTTTGTATCCTGTGATCTCACCCTGACAGTACCTGTCCTTCTGTATCCAAGTACCAAAACAGAAAAATAGAGACCAGTAGTGGTACATGAAATGGTGGTATAAATGTACCTCCATCAGCCTCTCTGTTTAAACTATAATCACATGCACTGAAAGCTTTTGAAGAATTCAGAGAGACTCTTCTATAATTTTGGAACTAATACCAGGCCATAATATTCTTTTTCAAAGATGATAAAACAGGGAAAATGTATAAAGACCATGAAAAACCATCCAGCATAGAAAATAACATAGCTCCCAAGAGATGGAGGTACAATGTATTTTTGCCTTTCAATAATATAAATAAGATATTCCTTTCATAACTCACATTCTGAATTTTCTTTTATGCCATATAAATAAAATCACACTAAAGGTGCAGGCCTTTAGCCCAGTGGGTAATGCTACTTGGGACACCCACATCCCATGTCAGAGTTCCGGAATTCATTTCTTGGCTCCATTCCTGATTCCACCTTCCTTTATGCTGGGAGACAGTGCCTAGGATGGCTCAAACAGCTGAGTCCCTGCGCCCAAATTAGAGATCCGGTGGAGGCTCCTGGATCCTGCCTTTGGATCGGCTCAGCTCTGACTGTTGAGGCCATTTGGGGAGTGAACTAGCAGAGGGACACTCTCTCTCTCTCTCTCTCTCTGTCTACCTCTCTCTGTAACCGTGTCTTTCAAATAAATAAAATCTAAAAAAAAAAATTAAACTTATTTGTATGATTTAATACCTCTTTCTTTTATAAGTATGCTCCATGAAGATAGGGAACATACCTTGTTTTTTTGTTTTGTTTGTTTTGAAAATGTATTAATTTGAAAAGCAGAGTTACTGTGGCCAGCACTGTGGCACAGTAGGTTAATCCTCCACCTGTATCCCAGCACCGGCATCCCATTTGGGTGCCAATTTGAGTCCCAGCTGCTCCTCTTCCAATCCAGCTCTCTGCTATGGCCTGGGAAAGCAGAAGATGGCCCAAGTCCTTGGGCCTCTGCACCTGCGTGGGAGACCCAGAAGAAGCTCCTGGCTCCTGGCTTTGGATTGGCTCACCTCCTGCCATTGCAGCCATTTGGGGAGTGAACCAGCAGATGAGTTATAGAAAGAGAGAGAGACAGAGACGTCTGCTGGTTCACTCTCCAAATGGACGCAATGTCCGGGGCTAGGCCAGGCTGAAGCCAGGAGCCTGGAACTCCATCCAGTTCTCCCATGTAGGTGGCAGTGGCTCAAGCACTTGGGCCATCTTCACTGCCTTCTCAGGTGCATTAACAGAGAGCTGGATCACAAGCAGAGCAACAAGGACTAGAACTGGCACTCATATGGGATGGCAGTGTCACAGGCAGCGGTTTAACATGCTGTGCCAAAACACCAGCCCTGGAACATACTTGTTTTTTGTTTCTTTTTAAAGATTTTATTTATTTATTTGAGAGGTAGAGTTACAAACAGTGAGAGGGAGAGACAGAGAGAAAGGTCTTCCGTCCGTTGGTTCACTCCCCAAATGGCTGCAATGGCCGGAGCTGCGCCAATCCAAAGCCAGGAGCCAGGAGCTTCTTCCAGGTCCTTCATGTGGGTGCTGGGACCCAAGGACCCGGGCCATCTTCTGCTGCTTTCACAGGCCACAGCAGAGAGCTGGATTGGAAGAGGAGCAGCCGGGACTAGAAATGGCACCCATGTGGGATGCTGGTACCACAGGTGGAGGATTAATCCACTGTGCCACCGCGCCGGCCCCCATACTTGTTTTTGTCACCAGTTTATTCTCATTTCTTGACTAGTACCCTAGGCACTCAGTAATTTTTGTTGAGTGAAAGTTTAGTCAAGACTCTTGATTGAAAAAAATAAATTCCTTGAAAATGATTCAGAGAAAGGAATAGCAGCAGATATTGAAAAAGATGAAGTAAGAAAGGGAAAAGGGTTAAGTCCCAGCTCCCTGCTCATGCAAACCCTGGGAAGCAGAGGATGATTGCTCAAGTGCTTGCATCGCAGCTCTCTGGATTAGATTCCTGACTCTCAGATTCAGCCTGGCCCAACCCTGGCCTTTGCAGACATTTGGGAAATGACCTGGAGGATGGAAGCTCATCAAACAATTTTTTAAATATATATACACACATATATGTATAAATGACTATGAAAATATGTTATATAATTGTGCATATTGTAACTTGTATATATGATTCTCATTTGTTTGAAACAAATTAAATATGATTATAATAATGAGTTCACTAGTCATCTGGGCATACTGAAATCAGTGAGCAAAAAGATCATGCTGAGGATACTCTCAGTAAATAGTACAAAAGCACAAAGAGCTGAAAAAAAGTGTAGCCAGAATTTGGGACAGACATTTAGCATAGCCATTAAGGTGTCCACATCTCATATCCGAGTACAGGTTCAATTCCTGGCTCAATTTCCTGATTCTAGCTTCCTGCCAGTACAGATTCTGAAAGGCAGCCATGATGGCTCAAGTAATGAGTTCTTTGCTCACATGTGGAAGACCCAGATTGAGTTCTTGGCTCCTGGTTCAACCTGTCCCAACACCAGGCATTTGAGACATTTGAGGAATGAATCAGCTGATGGGAACTCTGTCTGTGTCTCTCTCTGCCTCTCAGATAAATAATTTTTTTAAGAAATATTGTCAGGCTGGCACCACGGCTCAATAGGCTAATCCTCCGCCTGCGGCACCAGCACCCCAGGTTCTAGTCCCAGTTGGGGTGCTGGATTCTGTCCCGGTCGCTCCTCTTCCAGGCCAGCTCTCTGCTATGGCCCGGGAGTGCAGTGGAGGATGGCCCAAGTGCTTGGGCCCTGCACCCACATGGGAGACAAGGAGGAAGCACCTGGCTCCTGGCTTCGGATTGGTGCGGTGCGCCAGCTGCAGCAGCCACTGGAGGTAAACCAACGGCAAAGGAAGACCTTTCTCTCTGTCCCTCTCTCTCACTGTCCACTCTGCCTGTCAAAAAAAAAAAAAAAAGAAAGAAAAAGAAAAGAAATATTGTCAGATACCCCATATCTATTTAGGAAGATTTCTACAAAGTAAAAATAGAAAAGAAATAAGATCATATCCCCTAGATGAAGGGATTGGCAGACATCTTTTTAAAAGTCCAGATCCATGGCCGGTGCCATGGCTCACTAGGCTAATCCTCTACCTGCGGCGCCGGCACCCCAGGTTCTAGTCCTGTTTGGGGCGCTGGATTCTGTCCCGGTTGCTCCTCTTCCAGTCCAGCTCTCTGCTGTGGCCCGGGAGTGCAGTGGAGGATGGCCCAAGTGCCTGGGCCCTGCACCTACATGGGAGACCAGGAGGAAGCACCTGGCTCCTGGCTTCGAATCGGTGCAGCGCGCCGACCGCAGCGGCCATTTGGGGGGTGAACCAATGGAAGGAAGACCTTTCTCTCTGTCTCTCTCTCTCTCTCTCTCTCACTGTCTAACTTTGCCTGTCAAAAACAAAACAAAGTCCAGATCCAAAATATTTTAGGCTTTGGAGACTTCTCAGTATCTGTCACAACTATTCAGCTCTGCCGTTATAGCACAAAAGCAGCCATAAACAGTAAGTAAAAGGTGACTTTTTTCAATAAAACTTAAAGCAGAGTGGTCCTTTAACCTAGTGGTTAAAATGCCTGAATCCCCTAGGAGTACCTGTATTTGATTCCCAGCCTCAGCTCATGACTTCAGCTTCCTGCCAGTGCAGACCCTGGGAGGCAACTGTGATGGCTTTACTTACTGGGTTCCTACCACTCACATGGGAGGACCTGGATTGCATTCTCAGCTCCCAGCGTTAGCCTGGCCCAACCCTGGCCATTGCTAGCATTTGAGGAATAAAGTAAGAGATGGCCACTCACTCTTATCTCTCTGCCTTACAAACAAATGAAAATAAGTAAATAAAAGAACTGGAGGCATTCTGTATTTGGCCCCAGGCCATAGTTTGCAGCTCCTGGTTTGAGATTGAAAAGGCCCATCAAAAGGGCCTAATCTGATTAGCTTGCTATCTCTGGATTTGCCTATTCTGATATTTCATATAAATAGAATCATACAACATGAACTTTTGCATCTGGCCTCTTTCACTTAGCATGTATTTGAATTTCATATACACTGTATTATGTGTCAGTGCTTATTCCTTTTCATAGCTCAACAGTATTCTATTGTGTGGATATACCATCTTTTGTTTGTCTATTCAACTAGTTACCATTTGAGTTGAGGGCTTTTTACTGAAGAGCTTTGGGGCTATATAAACATTTACATGTCCGTATTTGTTTGCATACCTGTTTTCAATTTTTGGGGTAGGAGGTAAATATCTAGAAGTAGAATTGCTGGGTCATATGGTAACTCTATGTTTATCCTTTTGAAGAATTGCCAGACTATCATAATGGTTGCATGGTTTGACATTCTAACCAGCAATATACAGTGTTCTAATTTCTCCACATCAAACACATTTGTTGTCTCTTCCTCCCTACCACCACCCACCACTTTTTAAAATTATAGCCATCTTGATGGCTGTGAAACACAGGAGTTTCTTACAGCTTTGTGAGTTCTCAGTGGGGGAAGTCTCCACAAATTTTTAAAGTAAATAACATAAAAAGTCTTAAGTATGGTACCTACAACTACCAGCATTATTTATTTGAAGTTTATCTAAACATTTAATTTTTAGTTCATAGTCTGCAGGATGATTTTCACCCTAGAATAAAAACATATACATATTTATATTTCTTTTAGCTACTTGAGAAGAAAAGGAATAATAATAAATGAAACATCTGCAGTTGTGTATGCTCAGTTACTCACGGGTCGTAAATATCAAATAAATCAAAATGGTGAAGTTCGTCTAGAAAAACAATGGTCAAAACAAGTTCTTCCTTTTGTTTATCAAACTATTGTCAAGGTAAGACTGCATCAATTTGAGTCTCAATTTTATATTTTTTTAAAGATTTATTTATAATTAGAGAGGTCTAGTACAGAGAGAGGGAGAGACAGAAAGAAAGGTCATCCATCTGCTGGTTTACTCCACAAGTCGCCACAACAGTGGAGCTGGTCTGATCTGGAGCCAGGAGCCAGGAGCTTCTTCCAGGTATCCCATGTGAATGCAGGGACCCAGGCCCCTAGGCCATCTTCTACTGCTTTCGCAGGCCATCAGCAGAGAGCTGGCTCAGAAGTAGAGAAGCTGGGACTTGATTTGAGATGCTGGTGCCACAAGTGGATGCTTAACCTACTATGCCACAGCGCCAACCCCTCAGTTCTATCTTAATGTATACTATTACATATTACATTGGGAAAATACTATCATGAATATTTATTTATAAATGAAAAATAATTTAGCAGTGCTTTTGAAATACCTTAGTATTTTTTTAAAATACTACATAGTTTTTGAAGTACCTTAGCCTTTATGAAATATATTACATGTTCAAATACTCACTATATATACATTTAGAGAACTTGTCAATTTTTTTAAGGACTTAACCTCTAAAAAAATGTATTAACTTACACTCTTACATTTTTATTTTTATCCTTCAAAAATGTTTACCTTAAGTGAACTAATAAACATGAAGCCATTTTCTTTTGTGTTTATAATTTCAGATTTGGCAAGGAGACAAAAGTACAGTAATCCCCCCTTATCTGAGGCTTTGCTTTCAGTTACTCATGCTTAACTGCAGCCCAGAAATATTAAATGGAAAATGCCAGAAGTAAACAATTAATGTGTTGTAAATTGTGCACCATTCTGAGTAGTGTGGTAAAATCTTACGCCATACTGCCCGGGATGAGAATCATACCTCTGTCTAGAGTACCCATGCCTGCACATTGTAACTTAATGACCATCTCGTTACTCAGATTTACCATCATGGTATTGCAGTGCTTGTTTTCAACTTACTTTTATTTTACATAAGGGTAAGAATAATGATGCTGGCAATTCAGATAGAGCAAAGATAAGCTGTGACATGCTTCTTTTAAGTTAAAAAAGTGAAAATTCTCAACCTAATAAGGAAATGTTAAAAAATCATATCCTGAAGTTGCTAAGATCCACTGCAAGCTGGCGCCGCGGCTCACTAGGCTAATCCTCCGCCTTGCGGCGCCGGCACACCAGGTTCTAGTCCCGGTCAGAGTGCCGGATTCTGTCCAAGTTGCCCCTCTTTCAGGCCAGCTCTCTGCTATGGCCAGGGAGTGCAGTGGAGGATGGCCCAAGTACTTGGGCCCTGCACCCCACGGGAGACCAGGAGAAGCACTTGGCTCCTGCCATCGGATCAGCGCGGTGTGCCGGCCGCAGCGTGCTGGCCGCGGCGGCCATTGGAGGGTGAACCAATGGCAAAGGAAGACCTTTCTCTCTCTCTCTCACTGTCCACTCTGCCTATCAAAAAAAAAAAAAAAAAGGATCCACTGCAAGAACAAATCTGCACTCTGAAATTGTGTGGAAGGGAAAAGAAATCCATGCTAGTTTTGCTGCTGTACTTCATACTGCAAAAGTTACAGCCACAGGTTTGATAAGTATTTATTCGTATCATTATATAGGCATTATTATATCATTTCACATCTCACATCTTACACCATCTCACTTATTATATCATCTCACATCTCGAATTATTATATCATCTCACATCATTACCAAAAGGATGATTACAGGAGAGAAAGAGAAGGACCATGTTCATATTACAGTATATCATTAACATTGTTTTTAATTGTCATTAATCTCTTATTGTGCCTTATTTATAAATTAAACTTTATCATGGATTTGAATGTATAGGAAAAATATAGTTCAGTACTATGCTCAGCTTCAGGCATCCATGGCCAGGGCCTTGGGAGGAAGTGTTCTTAGAACACTGTGTGTTGTGATCCTGTAATTTGTGGGTACCGTATAGTTGAAGTGACTAGAGCACAGACTGCCAAAGTGCCTTTTTAGTTTTGTAGCCTTAGACAGGAGTCACTGCCCTTCTCTGCCCTCATTTCTTCATCCGTAAAGGGAAGCTGATAATGGGTTCTGCCATAGGAGATTGTCTTGGGAATTAAATGAATTACATAAATGTGTAAAGTACCTAGAAGAGTGTCTGACATATAACCTGTTAATAAATTTTATATGCTGGTATTATTGTATGGAAAATATTTGCATTTAACTTTTTGTAGACAACATAGACATAACAACCATAGGAGAAAAAACTTGTACAATTTATAGATATTTTGACTATGATGATTTACTTTTCTGTTTCATTTTACACAGGACATCCGAGCTTTTGACTCCCGTTTCTCCAGTATCAAAACATTGGATGATTTGTTTCCTCCTAGAAGTATGGTCTTTATGCTGGGAACCCCCTATTATGGCTGCACTGGAGAAGTTAGTTTCTGTAATTACTACAAAATTTTTTCTGGTTTCAAATTAATATGATTATTTAACTTTTCTTCATTTAGGTGTAAAATAAAATATAATATTGAAAGAAAAAAATAAGAAAAAAGCCCATTCATGCAACTTAACAGGGACGATATTTGATTATATGAGGATATTTCAAAAAGTTTGTGGAAATGTGTATTGTAAAAAAAAAATACATGGAGTTCTATTTTTTAACCAAAATTATTTTTTTAGTTCTACCTTTTCATGAACTTTATGAAGCTCCCTTATGTATCTTTATTCTTGAGATTAGGGTCAGGCAGTGAAAAAGAAATTCAAATCCTGATCTCTTTTTTAATAAGTTTTACTGTTTTAGTATAGCTAAAGCAATTCTGAAACTAGTTTATATTACAGGACTAAAATAAATTGCAACTGTCTTGATGTTTTGAGGAAATCCCATTCCTATATGGAAAACATACATACAGATATGGAATGGGGGAAACAAAGAACCTGTGAGGACAAATTTGAAACTATTAGTGGATTTGTAAAATACATATGTATATAGATAGACACATGTATATGTGTGTGTGTATATACATACAAAGGACTTCATAGAGTTTATGAAAAACTCAAAAGATAAGTGTATTTTGGTGCAGAAAAAAAAATTGGAAATCCGTTCATTATTTTTTCATGTTATACATTTTATGCAAACTTTTTGAAGACCACTCATATGTGTGCATATATATCCATGTATGCAAGTATTTTCTAGTTCTGTTTGCTCAAAAGAGGAAGAAGCAAAGATACACCCTAGTAGCAGTGAACACATATGACACATGTGACTAGAGATCTCAATCTCTAGTACCATGCCCTGCTAAGAGGAACAGAGTTCCTTGGAGAATGATGGAAATTTATGATGTAAACACAGGAATCCAGTTAAAGGGGCTCCTCCACTGGCTAGATTTCAGATAATTTTAAGTGCCAAAATAAGTAAGTTCAGTGATGAATTGTAAACCACTGAGGGAAAAGAGGAATCCATAATTCCATAGTGATTAAAAAGATAAATAAATAAGGAAGGGGGCCTCTTATTTATAGTGTAAATGTTTAGAGAGGTCTGGAGTTAGAAAACCATTTGCAACCACGTTGATAAAGATTGAATCAGATAAGAATCATCATTGGAAATAAATCTAGGGGAAACTTTTAAACAGAAACAGGATATTTACATGGCTACAGTGTCTACCCACAGACTATTTATTAGCTTCAAGGCAGGGTCTGGACTGTGTCGTAGCAGGTTAAGCCACCACCTGTAGCACTGCTGCAGCACTGGCATCCCATATGGGTGCCGGTTCAATTCCCAGTTGCTCCTCTTCCAACCTATCTCCTTGCTAATGCACCTGGGAAAGCAGCAGAAAATAACACAAGTGCTCCTACCCTGGTGTGGGAGACTTGGAAGAAGATCCTGGCTCTGGGCTTGGCCTGGCTCAGCTTCAGCTGTTGCGGCCATTTGGAGAGTGAACCAGCAGATGGAAGATCTCTGTGTAATTCTGCCTTTTGAATAAAATAAAATAAATAAATCTTTTTTAAAAAAGTGTATATGTTAGCTGCAAGGGCAGCAACAAAAACAAAAACAAAAAGACTGTAATTATGCAGTGAGGAAATTGAGCCGCATCTTGTTGGTAAGATAAAAGTTGGTGTAACAGTGAAGCACAAGTGAAATTAATTTACATACCTACAGATGTGATACCCTGAGAAGGACACATCACCTATGGAATATTCTGTCTGAGGATGGATAACCTTAACATAATTATAAGGAAGCATCACACAAACTCAAAATGAGAAGTTGTCATTGTTGCTGTTTAAAGATAAGATCTAAAGTGAAGGATGAATTGTATTTCTCAAAATGACACTATTGTAAAAAAACAAAGACAGGTTCTGGGTATATTCCAAATTAAAGACTATTAAATGCAGTATCTAATATCTAACGACTAAATTGACTATCTAGTTCTAGCCTGACTCCTGCAGCAGAGCAAGAAAAAGTTTTATCAATGACATTATTAGGCCAATGACAAAATTGAAATATAGGCAGAAGCCTAGATAAAAGTATTATATCAATAAAAGTATTGTATCAATGTAAATTTATATACTTAATAACTATATTTTGGTCATATAATAAAATATCCTTAGGAAATATACACTGAATATTTAGAGATAAGCAACTTGATATGTAATATATCCCCAATGTAAATACACACAGAGTACACAAATGTTAAAGCCTTCAGCTTTACAAAGTTAGCAATAAGTGAATCTGGATAAATGTTTTCAGGTGTTCTTTGTACTGTTTTTATTTTTGTAACATTTTTGTACTTTGAAATTATATGAAAATAAGAAGAATTAAAGAATGATGAAAAACTATTAAAGCAAGGATACCATGACTGTTTACAGTATTACTACATCCACATGTAAATTCCAAGAGAATTTCCACTACTCATCTTGACTGGCATACTGTATTTCAGAAATAATACTTTTCAATAGGTAGAAAATTAATGAAATATAGTGAGAGACTAACACATACCATGATTTTTTGTTTCCCTCTCCAAGGTTCAGGATTCAAGTGATGTGATTACAGAAGGTAGGATTCGTGTGGTTTTCAGCATTCCATGTGAACCCAATCTTGATGCTTTAATACAAAACCAGCATGTAAGTACAGTAGTTGGTGTTTCATTTAAAATAAATAAAATTTTTAAATATTAGAAGGATCTTTTTGCAACCACCTTTGAATTTATTTCAGATATTTCAGTTAATACAGATTCCCTCATAATTGTGTATATTATTATTTTAAACTAAATGCAGAATCTGTGATCAGAACTTCATGTAAGTGGTTAGGGTGAAAAATACTGAAATTCCATTATTAGTCCATAATAGTTATTACGGATTATTGTGCTCAAGCTTTCAAGAAGTACATTGATTAACATACCCTCTGGGAATAGATTTAGGTGCTTAAACCTTTTATGATAATTCAAATCTTGCTTTCTGGTTAAGAGTGACAAATGACCTTTCTGCAAAGGTTGTTTAACGTAGCTGAAAATGAACACTCTGAACTCTGGATATTATTGGGAAACTGCCTTTAAGTTCAGTTTGTTTTTTCAGAGCTTTTTCTTTAAAAATATTCAATAACCTTTCTTCTCCCTGTTAGATGGAAGAAAGTTTCTGAGGTCCATCATTTATTGTATTTTTTTAATTATTATTTTTATTGTATTTGAAATATAGATCTTTCATGCCCTCTTTTATTCCTGAAATGCCCATTAGAACCAGCGCTGGATCAGGCTGAAGCTAGGAGCTAGAACTCATTCTGGGTCTCCCACATGGTTTTACTTAGTTGTTTTTGGTTTTGTTTTTATTTATTTACAATCAACTAGCTAGTGCTGCTTACCTCATGCTTTTATTTTTTTCCTAAGGGTGATGTCTAAAATATTACATCCTCTGAAATGAATTTCAGACATTAGGCATTGTTTCCTATCAAGAAACTTTATGTACTGAAGGCAAACACATCCCTAAAATCTTATCATCAGGTCTCCATTGGAGAAAGAATTTAGACAGCCTAGTCAGAAAACTAGATGAAGAAGTGGATGTTGGTTTTGGGAGCAAGTGAACTGCAGATGAACCTGCCCACTTAGAGTGTACAGTGTTGATTGGTGTGCCTTGTCTGGTATACAGAGATACCTTTTTTAACTTTGAATCAAAGCACCTCCTATGTCTACCCAAATGTTCTCAGCTATCTAATACTTTGTAGCATATATGTGATGATTTCATTTGATTTTTAGTTATAGCATAATCTAATAGTTCTTGAAAGGAATACAGTGGTATTTCAGGCAGTGTAATTGTATATTAAATAGGACTGTCCTGCATATGGCAAGACAGTTGGAATCTTTGGCTCCTGGGTATGATGTACTAGTAGCCCGTGCCAGTTATTGTAACTGAATGTGCCCCTTCAAATTTCCATGTTAGAAAAGTGGTACTACACCAGATTAAGAAATATTATCATCAATTTTCTGATCTATTCTGGAAAGCATACTTGATATTTGTTAACTTATTGCTAATTCTGATGTTTTTGTTGAGGAAAAATATATTCTTTACTAACATATTAACATTATCTTCCAGACCACCAATAAACTTATCCATTCAGGGGGCATTTTAGATAAAAATCAGTGTTAGTGGTGGTTGATTTAATTCCTTGCCAAGCTCTGGAAATTTATTTTGTTGACAATAAAATATAAATGTATTCATATTTAAATGTAAATTATACCTATAATTAATATGAATATAAGAATATTAACTAAGTATGTGGTTTTTTATATATTATTTTAAGAGTTAATGGTACTGAATTTGTGAGTTGTGTACTTCCTGGTTAAAAATTATGATCTGATATACCTTTTTTTAATTTAACAACTTTCACAGTTTCTCCTTTGAGTACACAAATTAAGTTTGCATTTTATTGACTGTATTAATTATGAACATATATGTACTTGTTACTTCCATATAATAGTAAATATTAGGGGAATGGAATATTTATGTCCATATATGAAGGACAATTTAAAAAGAAACACTTATTTTTGCTCAATAGCAGCAATTTTGATGACATGTTTTAATTCAGTGTAATAATTTTTGAGGAACTTTGCTAGGCCCACTAGTAATATGACAATCAGTAGGAAAAAAATCTTGCCTTGGAGTTTGCCATTTAGTACTTATAGTAGAGTTTATTTCTTGAGACAGTTTTACAAACTCTATATTTCCTCCCCCTTTCATCTATCATTGGGAATTCAGTCCTTTAAGGAGAAAGAGAGAGGAGCAGAAAAATTCTGCCTACAGATTCTTTCAAAAAAAAGGGGAAATGGATCTAAATGAGAATCCTTATATTGCCACAATCCAATGTTAGTGATGTCTTGATTATCTCCAGATTTTAAAGGTAAAGAAATAACGTTTAATGTAAACTTTTATTTCCATAATTGACTTTTTTGTTTTTATATTTAAAGAAATATTCTATAAAGTACAACCCAGGATATGTGTTGGCCAGTCGCCTTGGAGTGAGTGGATACCTTGTTTCAAGGTTTACAGGAAGTATTTTTATTGGAAGAGGATCTAGGAGAAAGTAAGTTTATGTTAGAGAAATTTACTTAAGTGGCAGAAAAATTAAATGCTAAAGATTAAATGCTTAATTTTTCAGTATTTCTTTTCTCTTATTAAGTGCTCTGAATTTCTTTTAAAATTGTACATAAATTCCTCTAATGGTGATCTTTCAATTGAATGGCACATGTTATAGGTGGTTGGAAAGACAGTTCTTATTTTTAGCAGCTAACAAAATGAACCTTGAAAAAAGGTATCAGAGGGTGTGTGTGAACCTCAATAATATATTTCCTTGCATTTTGTTACTTCATTTTCCTTTATAATTGCATAATTTATTTACATGCTTTAACTCAGGTTTTGAGGCTTTCCTCTAGTTTTTCAGTTATACTACTTTAGAAATAACCATAATAACTAAAATACAGAGTAATCAAAATTGAAATTTTCTAAGAATTAAAAGCAAAACATTTTATTTCAATAACATTTTAAAATGTGTGTGTGTGTGTGTGTGTGTGTGTGTTGTGTATATGGTTTAAATTCAGCCCTCATGGAGACCATAAAGCAAATGTGGGTTTGAATCTCAAATTCAACAAAAAGAATGAGGAGGTCCCTGGATATACTAAGAAAGTTGGAAGTGAATGGATGTATTCATCTGCAGCAGAACAACTTCTTGCAGAATACTTAGAGAGGTAAGTGCCTAGAAAGATCCTACGAGGTGTCCAGAATCTGGGAATGTGCTCTTTATTTTGCCTTACAGATACCAGTTTTAGAGGAAAATATTTTCTTTAGTAAAATGTGACATATACATACATGGAACATCACAGCTATTAACTAAATTAAAGTAGAAAAATTTCATACTATATTATCAAAAAGAAAACACATGATGAGAATTGACCTCAACTTTATATCACTAATTACTACTTTGCATACCTGTTTTAGTACTAAGAGGGCTAGTATGAATAAACAAAATAGCTCTTGGCAGAGTGGATTTTCCTGAGTCTTAACAACTCTAGGTTACTGAGCTTGAATTATTGAGCCTGCCTGGGTATAGAATCCTGTATTGGAGATTATTTTCTGCCAGAAATTTTGAAAACATTACTCCAACGTCTTCCACTATTGCTGTTGGTAAATCTTTTGCCGTTGTGATTTTGAATCTTTGTAAGTGATCGGTTTTCATTTTCTGAAATCTTTTTAGGATATTCCCCTTGCCAGTGCTGTTTGTGTGTGCCTTGGGATCATTTTTATTTCTTTCTGCTATTGAGTGCTTCACGCTTGTAACTGATACCCTTCCTTTCTTAGGAACATTCTTGTATTATATCTTTGGTAATTCCCTCCTCACCATTTTTTCTGTTTTCCCTTTCTGGGACTTTTATTAGTTAGATCTTAGACCCTCTGGATCAAGCTTCTTAATTTTTCTTATGTCATCTGAACCATTTCCTATATTATTATACTTTTGTTATACTCTGTGGTAAATTTCTTCATCTTTTGCTGTTTTTACTTATGTTGCATATAATAATTTTTAATTCCTTAAAATGTATCCTTGTATCCTTATTCTTTGGCTGTTTTTTTTTTTAAGCATCTTGTTCTTATAGTGAATGGAATGTCTTCTTTTCATTTCTGTATATATAGTGAGTCAAGATTTTTTTCTTTATATGTTCTGATTTCTTCCAATTCTTTGTTTCCTCTTTTGTTTGGGCTCCTTTCATGTTTAAGACTTACTTTCACTTCTCTAATGATTCTGCAAGTCCAATTATATTTGAGAATGGGATACTGAAATGCTAATTGGAAAGTTAGTGCACATGGGATGGCCTATCAGCACTTTGCTATTGCTAAAGAGGATCTAAAATCACTACCTGCATGTGTATCTTTTCTCTTTGATATTCCCAGAGAGGTGCCAGCCTCTTCCTTCAGGAATAGAAGTAAGAAACAAAACTAACAATATTTTGGAAATTAACCAGAGGAAGGGTTCTCATTATCTAAATGACACTGATATACTCCTAGATATCCCTTCAATACTGAAAGACATAGTCTCCCGGTAGCAGGTGTACTGCTCTCTGACAGCTCTCAGCTGTGAGCCCTCTTCAGGAATTGCCTGGATGATGAGAACTGCCTCAACTAAAGTTACATTCCCTTCCCACAATAACCCCAGAACAAGTACCTCATCTACAAGAAGGTGTAAAGGCCCAGTGAACCTGATTGCCCCATTTCAGGCCAAGTCTGAAGAGCCATCCTGAATACTGACCTAAATCATATACGAGACCTAAACAAACTACAATCTTGACATTAGTCCAGGTGCAGCCTATCTGTTTTAAGCTTGAGCAGTCAGGCTAGGGGATTTCTGTGTTCTGCCAAGCAAATTGTGGTGTGCTGTTATTGTCTTAGTTTTAGACCATAGTCTCACGGTGGGGGATGATTTTTTCAAGGTGGAGCCTCATCTATATAAAATGGAGTCCTTACCCTCAGGGTATCACTTCATTACAAAGTTCTGTAGTTCAAATCAACTTGCTTTTTGGCTACTAGTGCTTTAGGATTTAGCTTATTCTTGGTTGTCAGATAAGTTAATATTAATCCAGGATCCAACTTCTAAAATTCTGTTAACTCATATATGCCATAAGATACTCTGCTTCTGTCTTCATCTATCTTTCTAGGTCTATGACCTTTGTTGTACTTCACTGTCATTTTAGTGGGCTGAGGAGGGACAAAGGATAAGAAATCTTCAATCTCATATACATACCTGAAAGTCTTCCACTATTTGGAAAGAACTATAGTTTAGAGGAATATATGTTTTAATTTTCTGTATTTAAAGAGTGCCCTAGCTTTGTTATGAAAATTAAAAAATGAACCTGTATAACTTTTGTGCATTTATAACCAGTTATTGTAATAAAAGAGGAATTAAAGTCATAATTGAAATTCTTTAAATTTTTGAATTAAACCATCTCTCCCTCAGAAAATGGGAATATTTTTGAGGGTCAAGGAATACCACGGTTTTCAAATTTTTGAGTCTTTAGCCTTTATTGATAATATCCCTTTTGATACTAATTAATCCTCGATGTATATGGATTCTTTAAGATCCAAAATATCTCATTGGAAGTTTATGTGAAGTTAACCATGTGTTTTTAAAAATAATATTTTTGTTTGTTTGCTTGACTAGAGCTCCAGAACTATTTAGTTATATAGCCAAAAATAGCCAAGAGGATGTATTCTATGAAGATGACATTTGGCCTGGAGAAAATGAGAATGGGTAAGCTAGATTTGTGGTATAAATTGTCTCATGGTTTAACTCAGTGATTCTGATGAAAGTTTATCTAGTTTATCAAAAATATTTTTAAGCCTGTGATTGAAAGAGGGGAGAGAGGGGTTTTGGTGGAAGGTGGAAGAGGATGATTGAGGGAGGGAAAGAGAAGGAACAGTTCCTGGGTAATGCATGAAAAACTAAAAAAGTTTTAAAGTTTTTAAAAATTTCTTTTACTACTTTTTTGGGATGTGTCTTGTTTCGTTTTTGCTTTTTAGAGCTTAATAAAAAATTTATTTTAGATACCAGTGATTTTGAACTAATTTTTTGTGATTTCTTATTGCTAAGAGGTAAAAATTATATGTGTTTAGTGACTAATTACTAATTATAAAATCTGATGTCAAAATTCACAGCCCTTAGAAAGTTTTTGTTAAATCTTTTATATAAGCCCTATAAAAGTTTTAATCAATGTGAAAAAAATATTGTTTTTACTGCAGTGCTGAGAAAGTCCAGGAAATTACGACTTGGCTAAAAGGACATCCTGTCAGTACTTTGTCTCGTTCTTCATGTGATTTACAAATTCTGGATGCAGCAATTGTTGAGAAAATTGAGGAAGAAGTTGAAAAGTGCAAGGTACTAACTTTTGCAGGCAAGATTATTAATGAGATTTGAAGTTAAATAAACTATAGGTTAATGTTACAAATAGCTCATTTCTGTTTCAAACAAATAAAACATACATTCAGTTGATTCTAATTAATGTCAAATAATTCTATAACTTAGGCTATTCTAACCATTCCCAACAGCCATGAATAAGTTTATCTGAATAAATATAAATATACTTAAATATATAAATCAAGATATTTAAATTTATATCTTTGTAGTGTTCCTAATTTTAAGAATATTTTGTGATCCTTGTCACAATAGAAAGTTTATTATTGGGAAAAAAAGATTAGTCCCCTGTTCCTTCCTGGTCTAGAACACGCTTTTCTTTTTAAGATTTTTTTTTATTTGAAAAGCCAGAGTTAGAGAGAATGAGAGAGATCTTACATATGCTGGTTCATGCCCCAAATGGCTGCAGCAACCCGAGCTGGTCAATCCGAAGCCAGAAGCCAAGAGCTTCTTCCAGGTCTCCCATGTGGGTTCAGGGGCCCAAGCACTTTGGCCATCTTCCACTGCTTTCCCAGGCACATTATTAGCAGGGAGCTGGATCAGAGGTGGAGCAGCCAGAATTCAAACTGGCACCCATATAGAATGCCAGTGTGGCAGGCGGCAGCTTTACCCACTACAGCACATCCCAGGCTAGGCCATCCTGAAGCCAGGAGCTTAGAACTCCATCCTGGTATCCCGCATGGGTGGCAGGGAATTGCTCTGCTTTCCCAGACACATTAGCAGGGAATTGAATCAGAAACAGAGCAGCTGGGACTCAAACCAATACTATGACACGGGATGCCTGAGTTGCTTAACCTGCTATGCTACAATACCAGCCCTTCAACAACATTTTTTTTTTTTTCTTTTTAAGATTTATTTGTAAGGCAGAACTAGAGAGAGGGAGGGACAGAGAGAGAACTTCCATCAGCTGGTTCACTCCCCAAATGGCCGCAATGGCTGGGGCTGGGCCAGCCCAAAGCCAGGAACCTGGCCAGCCAGGAGCCAGGAGCTTCTTCCTGGTCTCCCATTTGGGTGCAGGGGCCCAAGCACTTGCATTGTCTTCTACTGATTTCCCGGGCCATTAACGGGGAGCTGGATCAGAAGTGGAGCAGCCAGGTTTGAGCAGCAGAAGTTTGAGCAGCACTCGAACCAGTGCCAAGATGGGGTGCCGGCATCGTGGGTGGCAGTTTTACATGCCACACAACACTGACCCCTCAACAACATTTTTTTAAGTCAGTTTTATTTACCAAACATTATAACTTTAGACCTCCAAATTTTATTTTAACCTGTTTTGATGCAGAGCTTTCTAAAATATTTGATACATTTTCCTTTACTTTACAAGCAGAAGATACACATTCACAATTGTAGGCAGTTATTTTGATTAAACATTTTTAAAAGTGTGCATATAGATGAGACAGAAATTTTTTAAGCCTGTTAATGTTTCAGAGAGGTACAGTATAAGTGATTTTTTTTCCTTTTAGTGTTATAATATCATTAGAGTAATAAAAAATTAGAAAAAAACTAAAAATAAAAACATTCTGAAGATAATTTAAACTTTTTTTTTTTATAAAGCAGGGTCATCATTAAAAGTATCAGTTTTTTTTATTAGAGGTTCCCAAATACAATAGATTATCAAAATTACTGGTGAAGCTTTATAGAAATACACTTTCTGGATTCCATCCTGTAGCACTGCTTCTCAAACTTTAAGATGCAAACAGATCACCAGGGGATAGGGGAAAGTACTGGTTCTGATTCAGTGGGTCTAGTGTGAGGCTTGAAATTGTGCATTTTGAATAGCCAATTTCCATTATCTGTGCATTGGGGCCTACTGTAAATACTCCTTCGTTTTTTCATTTGCCTACTGAACCAGGCTTAATAGCCAGATCCTATAATCAATGTCATATTATAATAATGCCTAGGGATTTATTAGAGCATGTAAAGAGTTTTTTTTTTTTTCATATGCTATATGCCAGGCATAGTTCATTTGTCTGTTTTTTTTTAATTCCTTTAAATCTGTTATATTATTTGTTCTTGCTATTGCAAATGAACACCATTTATACTACTACTAGAACTCCAGTCTGCTAAGGGCTGAGAGACAGATACCTTGTGAATAAGGCCTTCAGTGTTCAGCCTATTAAAATTGCAATGGGGCAGACATTTGGTGCAGCAGTTAAGGTACTGATGGTATGCCTGCATCCCATCTCTGAGTATCTGGGTTTGAGTCCTGGCTCCACTCTCAATTCCAGATTCTTGCTAATGTGCACCTTGGGAGGCAGTAGGTCATAGCTCAAGTACTGGGAACCCTGCCACCCACATGAAAGATCCTTATTGAGTTCCAGACTCCTGGCTTCATCTGACCCAGCCCCAGCTGTTGGGGACATTTGGGAATTGAGCCAGTAGATGGAGAATGCCTGCCTTTGTCTCTCTGTCTCTCCTCCTCTTTCAATTAAATACAAATAAATAAATAAAATTTTAAAAAGAAAATTGCCTTATTTCCCCTATAGTTCTACCTTAAATGCATTATTTTCCTCGATGCTTTTTACCTTCAAACAGCTATATATTTTCCTATTTTCTTGCCCGTTTTCATAAGTTTTTATTTATTTTCATTTTATTTGAAAGAGAAAGATCTTCCATCCACTGATCCACTATCCAAATGCCAGCAACAGCTGGGACTGGGCCAGGCTGAACCCAGGATCCTGAAGTTCAGTCCAGGTCTCCCACATGAGTGAAAGGGTCACAAGTGCTTAAGCCCCAAGAGCTGCCTCCCAGAGTGCACATTTGCAGAAACTGGATTGGAAGCTGAGTAGCCAGTACTCAGACTGCGCTCCAGTATGAAATGCGGGTATCCCAAGCAGTGACAACCACTGTGCCAAACACCCCCTTATTCTTTCCTATGTGTCTCCCTCAACTAGAATAAAAGAACAATTTGATGCTTTATCCCTAACATCTACATCAGTCAATACAAGGCACATAAATGGAAAACAGTAAATATAGAAAGAATAAATGAAATGTCTCAATAGACACTATTTAAAGGGTTGAGCATTTTGGCTGGGGCGGACATGCCGGTCCGCCGGCCCCTCAGGCGGCTGCTGGTGCAGCGCGGGCGCCCCGGACAGCTCTGCCCACCCGAGGGCGGAGGGGCGAGCCAGCGGCAGCCCCACGCCCACCCCGTGTCCCTGGGGGCCGTGCACGTGGCTTTCGCGGGTCTGCGTGTGGAGGCGGCCCCAAGGGCCCGCAATGGAGCGAGACGATGCCGCGGGCGGCGGGCAGCCCGACTCTGGTGGACTTGGGCGGCAGGGTGGGCCGGGGCTGGAGGCGGGGGTCCCGGAGAAGCCGCCGCAAGCAGGGACCCCGGGACGCGGGGGGGGACAGCTCCCAGGATGGGGGGACTCCTCCCCACCCCCGCCCCCGCCCCTGGGGGCAGCTCCCAGAATGGGGGGGGTCCTGCTTCCCCACCCCCGTCTCCCGGCTCAAGGACTGGGGTGGGTACTGGGGCTCTAGACAGAAGCTCTCAGGCAGACTCGTGCGCAAGTCCCACGTTAACGGCTGGTCCCCAGTCCTGCACGGCCAGGGCCAGCTCCTGCGGCCACAGGGCATTCCCAGGGGGTCGGGGTGGACAGCCGGGCTGGGGGCAG